AATGCTGCACAATCGTGGACCGGTCGACAATGTGCCTGCTCGGCAGAAGCACGGGATCCTTCATCAGCTCTCCCATGATGGGGTCCTCAAACTCGGGCGGAATGTCTCCCAAGTCGAGCTCGGCCTGGTCCTGCAGCTCCTTGGTCTCTGCAAACTTGGCCTTGAGCTTGTCCCACCGGGCAATGTCTGCGGGATCCTTCTGGTGCTTCGACGAGAGGATCCGCGAGACCCGGTCGAGAACCTCTCCCTTGTATGAACGGCCATCCGCAGCGACGGCCTCGATAAAGACCTTGGATGCACCGAGGTTCAAGTAAATTTCGACAAAGTCGGAGAGCAGCTGGATGGGCCGGAAGTGATATTTTTCCCTGTTGGAAACGCTCAGCTCGGCAGCAGCCCTCTTGCCAGCCAGCGTCTCAAGATTGTAGTTCAACATGCTCGCCAGACGCGACACAATTTCGGGCATAGTAAAGGCTTCGCTCAACGTCTTGGTGAAGAGCTTCATCATCTCGAGCGTTTCGTTCGCCAGCTGCATGTAGGATGTTGCCTGGCTTCCCAAGTTCTGCAGCTCTTCATCCTTTTTCTGTCTGTCCTCGGCCGAGAGGCTGCGATCCTCGAGTTCACGCTCAAGAGTACGCATCTTGGGGAATTTTGTAAACGCTTCATCAAGGACGTAGGTGGTATCATTTAGAAGCATATTGACAAACTGGACAAAGAAGCCTCGGTTCACCCTGTAAGGTTTATTAGCCACATGTCGAACATTGAACAAACATCATGTCCACGAGCTTATTACTTACTTGCTTTCCTTGATAAGCTGCTGCCGGTAGACGTCGTTAACCCATACGCATTTGATGACCTGGAAGATTTCGTATCGGATATTGAATTTGTCGTAGAACTGTGAGTTGGCTCCCGTGGACTCGCATTCAATGTAGAACTTCATCAGGGCGTGCAGGAGATAGTCGTTGGCAAACTTGATGGAGATGAGCTGGTCACCCAAAACACCTCTCTTGAGATGCATAAACGGCCATGTCCCGGAGAAGAGTAGAGATACCAGTGAAGACTTGAGGTAGGGGTTCTTGATCTGTTCGGAAGATCGAAGGAATGTGATGCACAAGGCAATCATTTCTTCGCCTACTGCACTGGGGAGAATGGTAGGTAGCCATCTGTCCCGCAAGGAGGAAGTTGTTAGTTTTGGCGGTTCTCATTAAGGATAAACTAGGCTTACCGGAACACGAATTTGAAGTTGTCGACAATATTCTGAAGGGTATACTCCGGGAGATATGCAAATGAATCAGAGTGCCCTATCTCGATGGGTAATCTAATAGAAACATTAGCGCTTTCTCTAAATGAAAACTCCGAAAGCAAGGAGCGCTCAAGTCTTACTTGATGGTCTCGGTCTCAGTTCCAGGCTTATAGTCGGATCCGGTGGCAATCCGTAGAAGCCATACAGTGACATATCGCATGAACCGCAAAGATGTGCTCTGCATCCTCTCGTCAAGAAGAACACCCTCAATCGAGTACTTGAGGGCTATTGTCTTCTCCAACACATTGTTGTGGCGTTTCAGCGTCTCCTCAAACAGCCTCAGCTGATGCGGAGCATTCGCCAGCTTGGGCCGCTCGGCCTCCATAGCTTTAAGGTGCTTCTCCAGGTACTTAATTTCGCGGTCCAGGTTCTTGAGCTGAGAGTTGAGCGCCTCGCTGCCGTAGTGATGAGCAGCCAATGTTAGGAAGAAGGCCTCGGAGATGAAGTTGGACTCCCCATCCTCCTTTTCTGCGTAATATTTATCGGCGGCAGCTTGATCAGCGTTGAGTTTGGTCTCATCGCTGATGTCGACACGCGGCTGTCTTCTGAAATATCGGACGTCAATCTTGTCAATTTTGCTAAAATCGTTCTCCATGAAGGGCTCGCAGAACCGGTCCAAAATCGTCGTCACGTTCATCATGAAGCCATCGGAAGCCACCTCCCGGGGATCAACCTGGATGGCTCTCCGCTTGTGGTTTGTGTTTAAAATATATGCAAACCAGTCTAGTGTACGGTTTCTCGTATCGGGCCCTGCCCGAATAAATGCATTGGTGATGACGAATAAATCATCTTGGTGCGTCCTCAGCACCATTCTCAGAGCATCTTGTGCATTAGTAATGCGCGCCTTGTCTAGAGTGCGTGATCCTGGGAAATAGCTTTTAATAACTTCTGGTTGTAAGGGAGATAGACGGAAGAAAGGACCCAGAATGGTATTTCTCTCGATGCTGTGGGGAGATAGGGGAAGCTTGAAGCAAGCATGCTTTGCAAGATTGGATACCAGGACAGGGAAGCGTGCGTATGTTTGCAGCGCCTGCAGATATCAAGCGTCAGTTCGTCTTGTAGCTAGTGGTGGCGATCCCTGTGCATGAAGGAGGAAAAGAATAACTGACTTGAATATAGGGTTTGTATTCGTCGCCCATGGACAACCCCGCGAGCTGTGTACTGAGCTTGACCATTGCATCGTTAAAGATGGCGGGAAATGTTTCATCATCGTCAAATCGCTTGATTGCTTCCTTGATGAAGTCAAAGCATATTCCACTCTCGTCCACGGGGCCCCTGAGGAGATAGGGAGCAATAGTGTCATGCTCTGGGTTTGGTTCGCGGCTGAGAAGAAAAAGCATCAGATATGAAAACTAATGGGGGCCATCCCCCAAATCACATGCAACTGACCCATATAGCACCGGCATGGTTACGGCAAAGAGGCAGTTGCTCATGCAAAGGCGCTTCGACTCCTCGTGAAGCTCAAACTTGAAGCCGCTCGTTTGCTTGTTCCCCGCGGCTGCCTTCACAGCCCTCTTCCAAGACGGGAGGAGGTACTGCATCAGCGGCTTCTCAGAAGCCCAGCCGCTGCATGCCTCTATAATGGCCTGGTCCAGGTTGTTGACAGACAGCTTCAGGGGCTCCCCAGAATCATTCAGCTCTTGATTCAGGCTCGGGAGAAACGTCAGACGGTGGTTGCCCTGGTTGCTCGTCATCCGGTGCGGGTCGACAGTGACGCGGAAGATCTGGCTGAGCACTCTGTCGGCATAGTCTTCGTCTGATTCGGCCTGGACGGGCGTGGCTTTACGCGGGGGCGGCGCTGAAAGGACGTCGTCAACTTGAGAGGCGGACCTCTTGCGAGCAACACGGATAGTACCTGTAGGGCTCACGGACTCGGCCGGCCTGCTCGACCTCACGCCCAGCTGCGCAAAGGGGTTTGAAGCCGGCTGGGCCGCCGGTGTGATGGTGATTTTGGTCTTGCTCGAGCTCGAGTTGGAGTCGTCGGCCTCGGGAGCTGGTGATGTCGAGCTGCCAGCCTCAGCCTCGGCGGGCTTGCTGCTCTCTGCGGGCTTGGGGACAACCGGGTTGCCCAGCTTGGCCAGACGCCGTGCCCGAATCTGCATCTGCCGTCAGTCCCAGTCCTCGTGCACAGCGGCGAATACAAGGAAGCACGAGACGGCCTTACCTGCTCCATCTTTTCCTTATCGGGAGCGTCAGGCCCCGCGGGCGAGCTCTGGTCGTTGGGATCCATGGCGGAGATTGCAGTAAAAGAGGGGAAAAGTCACCGAGATCCAAACACGGGCGACAGGGCGATGATGAACAAAAGAAAGGCAACGGAACGCCGGTTTGCGGTGACGGGCTGCTGAAACGTAGAAGCAGGTGGAATGGCGAGGCTGACAAAGATGCAGTCCAGGTTCCAGACCCCACGGCCGTGGTGGAGAAGTATTTGATGGATGTGATGTCGTTGAGTCTGCGTCGTCGAGCGCTGTGCGGGGCCGCTGCCGCTTGCTTGCTAGCGACCGGCCTCAGTGGCCAGCCCCCTGTAAGTGACGCTAGCGGGGTGTTGGGAAGTGAGCCTTGTCAGCGGCTGTACGAGTGCCTGTACTGTAGGCAGATGGATGCTGGGAGAGGTTGGATCAGGCCAAGGCCTGGTAGTGGACGTCTTTCTTCTCTGGCTCGTCTTGGTCAAATCCTTTTGATTCCTTCCAGTGGTTTCTTTGGGCTTTTATTTAGAAATAGGGCGATGAATCATGGTAGCACCGCATCCTGCTTTGGTAAGCGGCTGCTGAGGTCTTATTCGTTCGCTCAGAAAGTATGTACAGCCGCGATTAGTATGAGGTGGTGCAAGGCATTCTCCGGCCGCTTCTGCCTAGGTACCCAAGCTATGAGACCAGAAACTCCAGCTCAACGACATGAAAAATTGATTATTCGCAGGACAATGAGCTAGAAAAGGGCAGCGAAAAGGAAAGAGAAAAAAAAACAGGTAAAAGAAGAAGAAAAAGAAGGAAAAAACCACCATCTTTCTGTATTTAGATAATCGGAGTCAGCAGCTACAAATTATCGGCGGCTTTGCAGCCCTACTAGTAGTTCGTACAGCTCTAGGCTTGCAGCAAAACTCCGCCAGCTCAGACAAGCATCCCGTACTATAACTCCGTTACCCCAAAGTACATTTAATTAGGTAGTGCTATATATGAGGCCCAAGAAATTTCAAAAGTCCGCGGGCGGGGGTTGCCAATCACCGGAGACTTGCGAGATCGGATCGGCCTTTGTTGACGGGATTTAAAAAAAAAAAAAAAAAAAGAGAGAGAGAGAGAGAGATTCAGTCTCGTTCCTGCTGCGGATTTCTGCTTCGTCCCAGTCGCGCCCGATTCACTCTCGCTCCATCTGCGTGGCTGGCGGCGGAGTTACCAGCAGTCAGAATAACCTAGGCCAGGGGTGGTCATTAAGGTGCTTAAGAGAAGAACAATTCTCCCCATTTTGTCCATTCTGGGAAAAGAATTGCAAAAATGCAGCTGGACATTATCATTTCGAATTGCTAGAAAAATTGAAGCAAGAGGCCGCCCCTGCAATGCTTAGAGTCGAGAGATTGAAACACAAACCCAGCAAGTTTCTCCCAAGTTTTAGACGCCGTCTTCAATGTATTGCTCGGCGGTAACCCGTCTTCATAAACGCAGCATCGCTCCAAAGTGGTCCATTGCTTAACAAATGAGAAAATCGCTATCTATAATCGGGGAAGGTCAACATCTGCGGCGGATGATCGTCGTCTTTGGCGCATCATGGGAGGCATCGGCTCCCGCGCCGTATCCGACCCCATCGACGTGGGCCTTGTTGTTCCGCTTGATGTTGGTCGTGCGTGGCCGCCCTCTTCACGAGCGCGGTTTAGGAGGTAGTTGACTTGCATTCGAAGCATCGTGCTGTTGTTTCGTAGCTCGGTAATGTCTTCCCGAACGGGCATGAGCTGGTTGACCATCCACATGCTCTGCCGAGCTTCGAGATGGCTCATGTTGTGGTGTACCTCTTCAAATCCGGCATCCAGGTCTTTCCCCCTGGCATCTCTGAATCCCGGTTCGCCCGGGCGGTTACTTGGCCCAAGAACCAGATCGAGACGTCGGCTCATGTCGTCCTGCCTGGCCCGCAGCTGACGGAGCTGGCTTCCCAAGCTGCCATATGTGTCTATGAGCTCCCGTTGGCTGCGGATGATGGCGCCGGATGGTGAATCTGGATGAAAGGGGCAGGAAAGAGCATGAAGCTCTTGGTGTGCCCGAATAACCCTCACTGGGCAGCCAGCCCTTTGAAAGCGGCACCCCACTTCGATGGCATCGCAGTCTAGGTTTCGATGGCCGTCCTCCTGCTCGCGAAGAATCAGCGTCCAGCAGCCCGCGCACCGCGTCTTGCTCTTGGGACATTGTAACAGATGAATATCACGATCAGCGTCCTCGATGATGGCGTCGCAAAACGTGCAGCTATTCTCTTGGTGCTGGCACTTGTCGTCTGTCGCCTTGTAGCGAATTGTCTTGGAGCATTCGGCATCAGGGCAAGGATATTCTCGGAAACTGCACTCCATGGTTGCGTGACGCTCCACAACCTCTCTCTTCATTTCCTCCTCACAACCTCTACCGTGATGAGGGCATTTAACGATGAGGTTATTAAGCTGCGTCCGAATCAGTCGTATGGAACTGGAGCAGTCTGTCCACAGCAGAGCCTCTCTGTCGATTGGACAGGCACCGCCCGCGGGGCTCGACGCCATGCTTCTGCGTAGGCATCGATAGCAAAAGGTATGGTCGCACGGAGTCGTCACAGGGTCGACGAGGGGATCATGGCAGATGGGACATAGTAGGTTCGGGTCAGGGTCGGTGACGTAGGTGAGCGCATACATGTCGAGGATGGCATTGCTGCCGTAGCGTCTTGGGATATCTAGGGACGATAGGTGCGGCTTGATCTTTGGCCCCGGGTTGGGCGTTCTCGTGGCGTAGTACTGCGAGTGTAAACCGGCGTATTGAGATTGCATGCCGGCGTCGAGCATGGGAGTCTGGCTTGGGGGATCGGAGGTGACCGAGTACACGTCGGGCGAGTATCGGCCATTGTTTATCAGTCCGTCAACGCCATGCGGCATCTGGTGTCGGCGCGAAATGCGTCGCGCATGCGTCCGGTGGTCTCGAAGATCCTCGTCGCTCGAGTCGGACATGGTCACCGGCGGCGGCCAGCCAAGTTCCGACGACATGTTGTCGAGGTGAGTCTGCGTGCTGGGGAGTGACGGGGGTCCAAAGGGAATATAGTCGTCTTCATCTCGTCGCCGCCGCTGAGACGCCGAGGACATGCTGGCAGCCAGGCAAGTGAGGCTAGGCTAGAGCGAGCTGGATGGGGCTGGAGCTGAATCTCGCGCTGATGCCGGTGCTTGTGCTTGGGCTTGGGATCCGCAGAGCACGGACAGACGGACAGACAGTCGTGGAGCGGCAAGGCAAATAATGGAGTGAGTTTTGGGTGTCAGGCAACGGGACTGTGCTTGAGGCGCCCAGATAGAAGCCCCTCAGGCATGAGAATCGATCAAAGGCTCCCCTGTAACGAGCATCTGTCACGGGCGATGCGATGCTCATCCAGTCTAGCTGGTGGTTTTGATGGAGCCAGATCAGCCGAGGGCGATTTCCGGCCGGTCACGATAAGATTTAAGAGGGTCGGGTACCTACTAGCGTTTCCCAAAGGCCAAGGCTGGATTAGAGTTGTTTACAGTACTCGTCTCGTACAAGCAAGGTACCATCGCGCGCCAGAGGGTTTTCTGGTCATTGTCGGTTTTTCTCGTCATGGGCCCCACAAGCCTTTTGCTTGCTCTATCACGATCATAGAGGCCAAAAATAATTGATAGCGCCTTGTAACACGAAAAAAAATCCATGTTACAAGTGCCAAGCAATGACCAGAAACCCCCGTGGCGCGCGTAGGTACTAATGTACAGTACCTTCCAGTACAGCCAGCGCTTGGTCAGGTTCAATGTTTTGTTTGGATTTGGATGCGGTGGCGAGAATCGGCGGGGTAAATGTTCTACCGCAAGGGGACCCAACGCATCTCTATGCCTGGTACACTGGCACAGCCCGTCTTGTCGCGTTGTACAACAACAAGACCGGATGGATTACGTGGTATCGGGTGTGAACTTATTTAGTAGTCGTAGTTGTTGTTGTTCAAAATGTTGAGATACCACCTTGCTACCTAGAGGTACATGCACATGCACGAGGTGCCATTGGATGTTGGAAGCGATCCATCCCATGCTGGGAATGCGCCATGTGCAGGTACCGGCAGTTTCAACTGTGTGCAACCATCCACCAATGAATCGTTCACCCAACAACAAAACTCAGCAATGTAACTACTAGGTACTTCTACTAAGTACCTACCACTGCCATACCTGTAATGGTGCATGGGTACCCCTGATTTTATTTGTACGGTAATACGAGTACTACACAAATACTACACCTACGGGTCCCGTTGTAAAGTGCTGCTACATGCGTGTAGTCACGGCGGTGACAAGAATCATGGCAGAATTATATACAAAATTGGCTGTTGGTGGCTCGAATAAACTAAAGTCTGTATAAATAAAAGGAGAAGTGCCTACGAACTGTATCTCATCTAGGTACCTACTAGGTTCAGGATTCTCTCAGCAAGTCCGTTGAACAAATGTGCGCTTCTGTGGTGGTTCTCGGCCAACCACCTTCGATATACCGTAGCTTTTGTTCAATGGATCCAAGGGACATCATGTGCCATCTTCTTCTAAAACTACGTACCCCAATGGTATACCGGCTTGCTTGAACATTCCAAGGATTTCATTGGCTATAGGGCATTCCTTCTGTATCAATCCTTTCAGTCTTTTTGCTGCCATGTATGATCTCAGGTGGAGATGTCAACATTACTTCTCGTGGGAAGAAGAGGGCCTTGGTAGAGCCAGACAGGTTGGCGTAGCATGTATTTGTAGGTAATACAGTTACGCTTTGGCCCCGGTGTTTGATATTCGACTCCTGGATCAATAATCTCGCCCTGTTGACAGATGCCCGAGGTAGATATCGTCCGATAGCACTGTTCTCTTTCGTGAATTCTTTAAACATTGGGGCATTGTTTGCAAAGATTCTTCAATAATAAAAGTTCCAAGTTCATCGTATAGGTTCCTTCTCTTGCCGGTACCCAACAAACATATCGACGGAGTGGGCTTTTCTTCTTGCTCTACACTTATCTAATATTGCCTAATACAAAGGCTATCGGCTATGATTTGCATTTTGCTTTCCTTTCATTGTAACAATTACGAAGCTCTTGAGATGGTATAGTTAATACCGCCAGAGTACATTTGTTGGGCAGACACACTGCAGTAAATGGGAATATAGATGACGGATGTATCTTGATCAGACTTGGGAAACCCTGTCTGCTGGATTTCTCAGGAACGTGTTTAGTGTTCACCATCTTGACAGAGAATCACAAATTTGGAACCAAGGGGTTCAAATTGAGATGTATCAATATATGCTCAAACTTTTGAAGCTCACATTGGCATGACCGTGACCAATAGCCATTGGAAAACACTGTAGTAAATACTGGACTGAGGCCAAAGTGAATGAAGCTCCGCATTTTCGTTTGCCTACACATCGGATGAGTTGATTCACTCCCACAAATATCCGTCCAGCCCACACGAACCAATTTACAATCAGGACCAAACGGAGTTTCAAATGCCCCAGAATCTATTTACTCTTGCATATAACTTCTCTAACCCCGAACTCTTCACCAGATCCATATCTTCTCTTCCATCCCCCCTTGGATACGCTTCTTTCCCTGGTCTGAACCGAGAGGTGAGTGTTGCAAATCCTTCTGCCATAAAATCTGTCTTCATGACCATTCAGGCCTCCAATGATCTATTTGCTGACCATATTCTCAGGTTCATGCGTGATTGACCATGTCCTACGCAATTATTAAAAACCCGTCAACGTTTCGACAGAGAGCATCCAATCAAAAGACATTCGATCAATTGTATCAAGACGGAGAATGGACTAGCGGCGCCAGCAGTTGGGGTCGCCGAGAGTTGTTCGCCGCCCGTGTGATTTCCTCAGGACCCTCTGACGATATCGAGTCATTGACAAGATCTTACCCTGATCCTAACAAGCGATTGAGCCAACCTTTGAATGGTTTTGTCCATGGTATGCCCAGTATGGATGAGTTGGGTCAGAAGTGGGATCCTGAGCTGGTTCGAGGAACCAATCCGGAGTGTCTGGGCCTTGTCTGGGCAGCTCTAGCAGAGTTCGTTCGACGAGAGAAGTTGTCCCGTCTTGTGGCCGCTCCTCCAGCTGCCAGTGGTTCCTCGGGGTCGAGGCCTACAAGGTTAGCAGCTGAAGTATCTCGCGAAAGGACCCAGGAGGTGCAGCGGATCACAGGAGAGTTTCGACGTTCTCGATCTTCTTCTCGATCTCCTTCCACTACGAGTGCTTCGTCAGGCTCCCTCTTTGGTTATGTCGAACCCACGTATATGCCTCTTTTAGAGGGTTCGACAATCCGCTTGGTCAGTTCACTCTGCGGATTACTGCTCATTTATGGCCAGAGTCGGGAAAGCACAAGACCACCGTTGATATGGCGGGCCGACAACTTGGTTTCCAGTTTCGTCGGCGGCGAACGGACAATCTCTGCTGCTGACGATGGCGGTATCCAGATGTGGGACACTGCCCGTCGAGTTTTCAGACAAGTCGCCTTGCTAGAGGCCAAGCGAACTTTGGAGTTTGTCGGCGGAAAGCCGTTCGTCACGGACGAAGTTCTGGCCCAGATGGTGGGCCAAGCATTGGCCTTGCATCGATCCAACAACCCTTTATACGTCGCAGCCAGTCCAGAGAGGTAAGTTCAAAATCCACAGCCAACAATACTCAATCCTACAACCAGGCTCGCCTTCTGTAGTTGATCTTTTATACTTACATTGGATGTTCTTATTAGGACAATAACAATCTTGGCCACGGCATATTTCATCAGGTTTTTCACGTTCGAGTTCCCTCAAGGGTATGATGCAAACTACGAAGGCCAAAACATGACAACTCCTGGCTGCCATCTGCTCGTTTATTCGTCAATGTGGCTAAACATCCAACATACAGCGGACAGAAAAAAATTTGTCCAGCATTTGTCGGCAATTATGGGTTGGGCTAATAGCCTGTAAATCGTGACGGAGAAATCCCCTGTGGAATTGGCTGGTGGATTGGTGTTTTAAGTTGTGCAACGCCGAGAAAATATAACTTGACTGCTGTTTAGCGGTACATTAATGCGGACTTAGCTATGCATCTTGACGAGAGGGCGCAGTTAGACTTCTGCCTACTATAAGTAATGTAGCAAGTAACGAATCCAATATCTTGCGATCTATAGTTGCACTGCCTACTTGAAAGCGCTGTACATGAGTTCACGTAGGCACTTCCCCTGTATTTACTCGGACCTTGAAGAGGCCAAAACAAAGCACTACGAGGTGCCATGCGGGATTTCTATCGCAAGTCTGATGTGAATATAGAAACTGGCGGTATCTTTGGTGTGGCCACTGACCAAGGCAGCCGAGTAATAGGCCAACCAAAAGGCGGATACTCCCTGCAAGAAGTACACGAATAACATTTATTTCCTACCTCCTATTTTCTATCAAAATGACTAAAAGTGTAAGTAAGATAGGGCTAGAGAGATCTTCAAGCAACGACACTGTAACTAGGTACTATATCCTCGCTGAGTGAAGAACTCCATTGATTCTACGGCGGCTGTTGGACTGAGGAATATTTCGATATGGAGAAGTTATTAGGAGATTTATATTCCTTGTGCCCGAAATCATCGCTTCATTCCAGTACATCTACACACCTCCAGCCATGAGGGCCTTGAGAGTATCTAAGTACAGGTAGGATGGCTCGTCTTCATGTTGCTTGGGTGTGGCCCCCTTGAGTTATTCAATACTCGTAAGAACCCCCGAAAGTCGGATCTTACAGCAGACAGCTGAGAGCTAAAAACTCAATGGATAAATTTACCCTCTTCTATTGCTCGTCTTTTTCCTTTTGCCTTTATTGCTTGTCGTTTTCCTTTTGTTTCCATTACCCGTGCTTTTCCTTTTGTTTCTATTGGAAGGATCTCCATTGGAAGGATCTCCATTGGAAGGATCTCCAAAGGAAGGATCTATGTTTGTTCGATCTATCAGAGCAGAAAGCCGATCGCGAAAGGTGAGAGCAGGCTCAACCGGGATCGTGAAAACCTGAATGGTGATGGGCTCCCAGGGTGGTGGAGCGACAGTAGGAGATATGAACATATCCAACAATGAAGACGGGAGCTCGGCCTTGAAGAGGTGCATGCATTCTGCAGATTCGGACGAGGTCAAGACGTACGACTAAATCATTTTCTTAGTCTATGCCATTTTAATTCTCTTCGCCATAGACGTACCGGATATACCGTCAACGTAGGTAGGAGTTCGGGTCTTTCACCTTCCACATGGCCCCACTTGCCTTGCGCGAGAGCAATCATCACTGCCGCGATATAAGGATCCTTCAATGGGTTTGCCGGGCGAATCTCTTTCAATTTATGACGGATTAATGCCTGCATAGGAAGGTTGCTAGAGCTGCATTTCCGAAGATGTACGGAGTGTTCTCGACGAGCTTCGAGCACTCCGTGATCGATATATGCAGCAACCGGATAGTGGTCTAACGGATCGACCCAGTCTCGGCGGAGCATATAACCGCAGTGAACGGACGCCAAAAAAGGATCATGCTTTATTGTAAAAGCAAAACTTTCCCTACCATCGATCAAGAATTAGTTGCTTTTCGACACGAGTAAGGTAGCTCTCAAGAACAATTCTGAAGGGCGAGTACAAACCCAGGTATGAATCCAAATGGGCCTTGCTCCCCCTCGATCATTTCACTAACGTAGTACTCGCGCTTGGAAAAGTCATGGTAATTCTCATAATAATCATTTATGAGAGATAGCCCAGCGCGTTTACCAGTATACTTTGGGGGGCCTGGTGGCGGCGCAGGAGATGACGGTTCGCTGAAGGAGATGCGTAGAAGCTCAAGTTGACGGTTGGTCCAGTGAAGTGGAGCGACAAGGATCCTTTCTCTGCAATAGCGACGGGCAATTCCGTAAAGGGACAAGGCATCTGGAGGAGATGAAGGCCATGGTGGTGGTGGTGGTGGTGGTGGTGGAGGTGGAGGTGGAGGGGCTGACGTATCGGTACCATCGACACTTTGCCGTGAGTTGGACATGTCCATATCGTGAGAGGTTCAGAAAATTGATGTGTTGATTCGGGCGTTTCGTGCCAAAGCCAACCGTGGAAGTTGTATGGTGGAAGGGTAGAACCGAATTGATGCTGATTGAAGTTGTAGTGGGGGTTTAGCGGTTAGTAATCAGTGCGCTTCACTGCAAGTACTGGGTGGGTTGACCTTAGTACCTGTAACCTTAGAGGTATAGTAGCAAGCGGGCTCTTAAAGTTGCAGGTACATTCCCTGTAAACGAATTACCCGACGTGCAATCACCAGCGGCTCTGCTTCGTGATGGCGTCTGGTGCCATTCCCGGCGAGCTTCCTTCTTCCTCGAGTGAATCATGTGATGAGAATGGATCGTGATTTACATTTCGCCAATCCAGGCCCTTGCCATGAGCGCATCCGTATTTTACCTGTCGGCCTTTTTCTTCAGATGCAACCACTGTGTAAGGCGCCATTGTTCGACTCATTCCCTTGCATTGTCTCAGTCGTCGGTTGGACAAAACCGTCGTCCTGCCAGCATAAATATACCTACCTTGGTACCTATATAATGGAAGGGAAATAGAACGTTTGGACCCGAGATGCTTACACAGGCGCTGCCATTTGACGTCGCCGTTATAATATGCCTCCTCTAGTTCAATAAATGGAGGTGGTATTTGAGAGGTACGGTGATTCACGAGAGTCTTTCAATATACACGCCAGCTTTCAAGCGTTCAGGCAGATGCCAAACTGGCCTGACATCTTCCTACTAGGAACACGGAATATGATAGAGCTCACCATCTAAATGGAGACCTCGATAGAATCCCCTCTCTGAGGAGGCCATGGTTGTCCTTGCGGCACTACTTTAATAATTTAATGCTATATAGTCTAAGAGCAAGCGCATATAGGCAATAGAAAGAGGAAAGTCATCACATAATCTTTATACAGGCATATCAGTAGCACGATCAAGTTTCTTGCGCTCTTTACAGCTAGAAAGTGTAATCGAGAACATCTGTCTTGGTGGCATGTTCCATCTTATTTTCTGCTTAACATTGACTGCGTGTCTACCCAAGTCTCGTTTCGTGTTGGATTTCTCTTCTATTTACATGTAGAGCGTTGCCAGGATATCGCTGTGAACAAGATAAGCTCATTGCCTGCCAAGGCCACATCTTTGAGCCCCCCGACTAAGCCGCAAGTCAATCTAGACAAATGGCTTCAAGACATCAGATCGTTCGAGCCTTAACCGCCCCAAGCTCCATCACATTGTGTAAAAGGTTGACACAATCTTACCCACCCGCCACCACACAGATCGCTCCGTAGCTCCTCGCCTCGGAGCGAACGGCGAACGGCAGAGCTACATCTGACCTAAACAACATCCCCGACCTAAATCCCATGGAAACCCAAACAGCAGGGCAACTATGAATGCGCAGTTGATTCCAACAGCGTCAATCATCACGTTAGAAAAGTGGCCTATGGATTTGGGCGCCCTTCGGCATGATGTGGCTTCATGTTCTCCATTGTAAGCATTACACCCGTTCTAAGCGGGCGGCTGCTTCTATTAGCAAGGTGAATGCTAGCACCGGCTAACCAGCCACCCAATCCATTTGACTTGTTTAGTTGTGCCTCTTATCTTCATAATGGCTAAACTTTGTTGAAGCCAAGCATTTTCTTGTGAAGCGGCTGCTTCGGCACTGTGTGGTGAGGTGGTGGAGGCCCAAGAGTGTGAGAATTGTTGCTTTCATATATAGAAGCTGAAAGAGCTCCTGTTCTTCTTCTCTTCTTTCACCTTTCCTCTACTCAAGGTTAACTTACAGTCACGTTTACACCGTTTTTAAAACTCCAACTCCCGAAACATCTTCAAAATGGCGCTTGGAGCCAATCTCACCAACACAGCTCTACGAGCGGCCTCTCTATTCTGCTATGTCATGACATGGATTTCCGCCATCATCGTCACCGGTATAGTGGGCAACTTCTTGGAGCGATTTTCGAACCGGGGCGTTGATATCGTGTACATGGAAGTCATTGTTTGTCTCTCTCGTTTCCCCAGCTTGTCATCCTTCCATCTAACATGAGTGCGCCAGGCTGTCATAACGATGGTTGTGTACCTCGTTGGAATGATTTTGCCATGCTTACCCAAGTACGGCGGCCATATGGCGCCCATGCATCTCATCTTCAGCTATCTTTGGCTCACGGCGTTCATCTTTGCCGCTCAAGATTGGAGCCACCATCGGTGCAGAAATTCGATTCCTCGATCTGGGCTCTGTGGCCGAAAGCATGCCATTGAAGCATTCAACTTTCTTGCCTTGTAAGTGAATGAAACTTGACCCCTTCTTCTCTCTGGATTATCTTTTCTAACACGGCTAGCTTCTTCATCTTGTGCAACCTCATCATTGAAGGGTTCCTCTTCAGAGCTCACAGACGAACCGACACTGGCACCACCGGCACTCACCATGTTACCAAAGAGCGACCAGCTTCTGGTGTTTCTGGAGTGTCTGGAGAAACTGGCACCACTGCACCACCGCCGCCTGCTGCGGCACCGGTCAACAACGGCACCACTGCTGTCTAATCTATGACAGAGTTGAATGGAATTTGAGGCCTCTCTAGTTTTGATACCCACGTGTGTGAGAGGCACGAGTGTTTGTTTTCCTCTTCTTTCCAGTCTGGAGATACCACGAAGACAGAGATTGGCTCTTCAAGTTTCCAAGAAACAAGCAAAAAACTAATGCTTCGTCGAGAGCACCTGAACCGTAATTTCTCGTCAAGCTATATCACTTCCATTGTTTAATCTAATCGGCACATTGATAGTGTAACTCAACAACAATTAATAATACGTAGTGAGTAATTTGAAAATAAATAAAACAAAAACTTGGTATCATCATCATCGGGTGCATGAAAAGTTGGCGGCAGTGCGGTCATGTCATGTCAGAACTCTGACGTTTTGACATGTGCAGCTTGACAGGACTAGCTGCAGCTCATCCGGAAGCTCAGCTCCAGCCATCTCTCACTTCCCACACAGTAAATAGAGCAACTGTGTGTAGCTCAAGAGTCTTAAGGTTGTAGGCCAAGCCCAGTCTGGCTACTCTGCAGGCTCTTCAAGACGCTTCTTGATGCGCCCTCCGAAACTGCCGGGCTTGCTCTGAGCTGACAGCAATGGCGCACAGTTTGATCCAAAGCGCCATTGACGTGATGTTTACCGTCGCCTCACCTGAAGATACCCAGAGTTTGGATTTTCCACTTGTTGCGGGCGGGCGGTTTAGTGGAAAAAAGTTCCTTCGCCTATTGACTCTGATCCCTGGGTACATGTAGTCGGCCGACAGAATTCACTGATGAAACGAGCGCAGTGAGATTTGGAGAAAAGGTTGTCCAGACGGAGAGAATGATTTGCGGCATCCCGCCTCTCAGTCTGTCTCTGTCCGAGTCCAAGTTCTCAGAATCTGTTACTTGATAGCGCTGGACTGCAAATTCATCTCTAGTGTACCGAGCTTGCCGTTGTCTCAGAACCAGTAGGGAATTGTTCAACTAACCCCATCACCTGATCTGCTCGATCCATTTCCGGAGAAGCTATCACGAGGTTGAAGAGCTTGAGCTTCGTGGCTAACCGCTAAGGTTATTTAGGGCGCCATGCCACAACGGGTAGGTTCGCTCATTAGTCACTCTTTGCCTAAACACCATCCATCCATCGCACGGCAAAGAAGCCACCGTTGTTCAGTAAAAGCATGGTGGCGTGTGTCCGCCATCAGCTATTGGTCACAGCCGGATCATGGAGCTGTGCGCAAGATGCAGCTCCATCACCCTCGGCGCTCTGAGGCAAGACTTGCCTGCCCGCCTGGCGTCTCGATCGGGGTCCAAGCAGGGCATGGTGTTGCGTGAAGATGGCTCTACCCTGGCCCGGTCGGCAACAGATTGCCGATTGTGTGCCCTTATTCAAGAGGCCCTCTTGAGCAGCCTCCAAAGCTCCGTCAGCGAGGGTGGTCCACAAGCGACGCTTTCATTAGCTCCGGACGCCGTCGTTCTCGAGCCAAAATCAGACTCCCAGGGATCGACATTTCCTGACCCTCCAACCGGGGGCTCGCATCTGACGGGGTTCAATGTCACTGCAACCGAGTCAACCACTGGACAGCTGCTGCAGGCCAAGGTCCGGCTCTACACAGACGGGAAACGTATGTGGGCTTACTGCCAGATGTTGAGCATGGTTGACTTACAGCTATAGATAGACAAAGGCCCGCATTGCCGCCATGATATTGTAGGCAGGCCACAGCTACAAGGGCCAGCGTGTGATGAAGCATTTTCGTTGCTCGGGAGATGGGTAGAGGCATGTAAAAGGGACCATGCGTGCTGCTGCGAAACACTCTCTGGGAGCGTCATTGACGAATCCCAGCTTCCTCAACTACCAAGTAGAGTCATTCATATTTCTGGGAGCAGCGTCAGACTGCTGCCATCAGGAGGCCGACGTGGAAGATATGCGTCTTTGAGCCATTGCTGGGGCTCTTCTGGGAGGCCGCCCTTGAAGACAACTCAGGCTAACCTCCAGAAGCATCTTCAAGACATTCCCTGGGCTTCGATTCCAAAGACGTTTCAAGACGCGATAACCGTTGCTCGCAGTATAGGTCTCGCTTATGTCTGGATCGATTCGCTCTGCATTGTGCAAGATGACCATCAGGACTGGTTGAAAGAATCAAAGCGCATGGGCTCTATATACGAGCAGGCTGAAGTCACTATCGCTGCTTCTCATACCCCGGGCTGCTGGGAAGGATTCTTCTTCCCTCGCCATCCACCGCCTCCCTCCGTAGAGATTCCTAGCTTTTTCTCTCAGGGTAGTGATGTATCTGATGCATCCAGGATACAAGTTTTCGCAACTGTCCGGCGGGATACTGCGGCCAACACCTTTCCAGAATTTGGCACACTCAACAGCCGCGCCTGGGCCACTCAGGAATGGCTCCTGTCAAGGCGCATAGTTTTCTTCACCAAGGGAACTATCATCTGGTCGTGCAAAGCCATCACACAGCGCGAGACTGGTGAGAGATGCTATAGTATATCACGGAATACACGCTGGAAGAACATCATAGAGCAGTACAGCGATCGCCAGTTGACCTATGCAACGGACAGGCTGATTGCGCTCGAGGGCCTGCGGATGGAGCTGGGAAAGAAGATTGCGTGTGAATATGCCTTTGGTGTCTGGAAGGAATCTCTTCCCAACCAATTTCTTTGGCAAGTGACCAGGATAATAGACGGAGCAGCCATTTCGGATCCTCTCAAGTTGCCGACCTGGACATGGGCACATGTTCCATGCGGCGTGCGATTTCTAGCCATTGACAGAGCCAAAAATTTGTGTGGCTCCATTGCTTTGGAAGACGACAACCCGAGGCGAATGAGTCTCCAAGCACGAGCGAAACGCATCTCGGCTGTCTCAACAGTCTTGGGCCCTAAGCAAGGGGATGTCGTTACCGAGGCCATCTACGCGGATATCAGCACATCTCATGCCAAGCTGACCAGCTCCATGGCCAAATTCATACCGTCCCAAGATGGCTCTCCCATCGGATGGACCGTCTTCGATCTCGCCTCAGAAGATGTCACCTCTGGAGAAGTCCTGGCCGTCGCTCTCATGGGAAGCATTAGCCGGCGAGACGAGGAAGCCGAGCGGCGCCTTGGGAAGACGGTCTCAAAGAAGCTTCGACACTATTGGGTGCTGATGATACGACGAAGGAGTGATGGCAGATATTATAGAATAGGAGTAGGGAAGACGTATGGGCAACAGTGGTGGCAAGACGCCGCTGTTGGGACTTTTGATTTGGTGTAGATGATTTCAGTAAGGCAGAATGTGGTGCTGATGCAGGCTATTCATTTCATTACCTCCAAGGTTCAATTTCTACGTATGAATGGATGATTTACTGGAGAATCAACCTGAAAAGTGGAAATATCTAGATTCACATGTTCTTGAACAGGCTGATGTAATCAATCTGCGTATCTGCGTCATTGATGGAACTCTGCAACATCGTGGAGCTTCTTTGCCCACTGCAAAAAGACCCCGCCATGAAGCTGCGGTCGCTGCAAGCTCAGGGGGTTGAAAAAGGTTGATGCCTTGCGGCCTCACCGGCAGCCGCGCCCGCTGATTGGCCGGCGTGCTAGTCTAGCGAGTCCAGCACTCAACAACAGGGCCAGCATACGGACACCTATTCGCCAGAGCTCGTGCACAAGAGTCGACAATCGTCACCTCCCAACAAGGAGTTTTCAACCAGCGCGACGAGATACGGGGCGGAACAGGCTGCAGAGAAAGCGAGGCCACACCGAACGAAACACGCTGCGGCTTTCCTCGGAGTGCCCAAGGCGCGTTGGAGCTCTCCGCATCGCCCCTCTGAAGGCCCAGCTGGGAAGCTCTCCTCTTGCGCAACGGGCCCTCTCGATGAACCCTCGCAGTTGAATTTGGCGTGCCGGAATGGGCTCGAATCTTGGCAACGGCATTGGCGGAATGGATCTAAGCGGCGCAATGCAGGGCAATGGCTCGAACCAGCCCCAGGCCACCGAATACACGCTCCAGGGCGTGATGCGTTTTCTGCAGACGGAGTGGCACCGACACGAACGCGACCGAAATGCCTGGGAGATTGAGAAGCAAGAGATGAAGGGGAGGATCGCCAACCTCGAGGGTCAGGCTAGGAGAGCAGACGCCACGCAAAAGGCGCTGAAGAAATACGTGTCCATCCTGGAGCGCAAGATCAAGGACCAGGCCGCGCAGCTCAAGGGCACCGCCGTTGCAGACGACGCCGACCTGGCAAAGAAGGATCGCGCCGCCAAGATCCAAGAGAAGCTGCAATGTGCGACACGCCTTTTGTTTCCCCTTTGGCCATGTAAATCTTGGATTTGATTGTTGCTGACCGCAGAACCAGCCTCATCGGAGAGCCAGCCCGTTCCAGGCGTCGAAGGCGTCGAGGTCGAACGAACCGACGACGAAACGCAACGAACAGAGCTCAAGACATTCCTGGATCAGTGCCAGTCCGAATTTATGTATCTTATGATCACCCCGGCGAACCCTCTACCACCGCGCGAGTCCCCTCCGCTGCCGATGTTGGAAGATTTACGAGAGGCCGAGGCGTTTGGCATGCCCGGCGCGCAGCTCATGGAGCGTCAATATCAGATCCCCATGCGACAGGGCCCAAACCACATGCAAGACATGAACTCAAGACAGCACCAGGGCCCAAACTCTCTACCACCGATGCAGCAGCCCCCATCCAAGTTTGCCCCAAACGCTCCTGATATGCAGCCTCAAATGGTGCGCTCCGTGAACGAGCATCAGCAGCAGTCTCTTTTTCATAACTCTAACGAGTGGCAACAGCAGCAGCAACAGCAACAACCCATATCGGTGACAACGCGCCCCGTGGAAGATGGCATGGCGCGCTCCAACCACTCAAACGAAACGCTGGGCGGGTTAGAGGAGTCTGTAGAGCTGAGAGAGAAGCCGCCTGCTGCTCCAGACCCTGAAGGCTGGGAGTTTCCAGACGGATCATTCCCAGAGCCCGTAACTGGCCACCCACCGTCGCAAACACCCTCTTACCGATCCGATACCGACGCTTTTCCAAACGCAGACTACTTGTCAAAGTCCCCAGGCCGAGGTCCAGGAACCCATCGAAGAAAGAGCTCCATGTCCAAGAGGCGTGGCAGTGATCACGACATAGGCGCAAGCCAAAAGGCTGAGAGCGCAAGCTTCAAGCTACGATTTGGGCTAAGGGGCCACCTCAATACCGTTCGAACTGTCATCTTCTCCGGCGGCGGCAGCCCTGGCGAGCCTGAGATTTGCACTGCCGGCGATGACGGCATGATTAAACGATTTCACGTCCCGCGGCTGGATGGTAACGCTGCGGCCTCAAACAATGCGGCTTCGGATCTGGACGTAACCGCAAACTTTACCCACCGCGGCCATAATGGAGCCGTTTTGTCGCTCGCAGCATGGTCTCCCGCGCCCAACTTCTCTACCGGAGGCCGCGCTCAGGGTGATGGCTGGATCTTTTCCGGAGGTCAAGATTCTACGATTCGAGTCTGGGAGCGTGGTAGGGTCGATCCCAAGGCAACGCTGGAGGGGCATACAGATGCCGTCTGGGCAATCTGCGTCCTGCCGACAACACTGGGCTCGGTCTTTGGCAGCTCCAGCAACTACGGAGCTCCTGACCGCATACTGCTCGTCTCCGGCGCGGCTGATGGAACTGTACGACTCTGGTCGGTCAGCGCACCCCCTCAACTGAGCTCGCCACAGCCTGGATCAACCCGAGCCGCATCAGGACGCGGAGGACGCGTGCGCGGCAACTCAATGAGCTCTGGCAGCGGCTTCTCCAACTCTCCCCAACCCACGGTGGCTTCCAACTCCCCCTTCAACCACACTCTCGTACACGTCCTATCCAGGCAAGATGGATCCAAGGCGAGCCCAACTTGCATCACGCCGCTCGGAAGCTCGGGTGAAACGTTTGTCGTCTCGTATTCGGATGCCGCTGTCCTGGTGTACGATACAAAGACAGGCGAGCAGGTTGGCTCCATGGACAGCTTGGAGACGTACGACGGCTCGATGAAGACGAGCGTCAATGCAGTGGTGGCCACTACAATCGGGTTGGACCAAGGCAACCAGCATCACGGAACTAACATCGGCGGAGAGGAGGACCCTGCCATGGGAGGACCAACGGGCGGGCGGTCCATGGCTGGCTCTGGCGTGGAAGGCACCATTATTTCTGGCCACGAGGATCGCTTTGTACGATTCTTTGATGCCAATAGCGGTATGTTGAACCTTGGGTCTCTCTACATGACAAACGAAGAAAGCAAAAACGCTAACATGTCTCATCTCACAGGTCAATGCACATACAACATGTTGGCTCATCCTGACGCCATTTCTAGCCTATCTCTCAGCCCAGACGGGCGCGAGCTGGTGAGCGCCGGCCACGACGCCTCGCTCCGGTTCTGGAGCCTGGAGAAGAGGTCATGTATTCAAGAAATCACGAGCCATCGGGTAATGCGGGGAGAGGGAATTTGCACGTGCGTATGGAGTCAGGACGGCAAGTGGGTGGTTAGCGGAGGAGGCGACGGCATTGTCAAGGTGTTTGCACGATAGTGACGATGGCATAAACAATGGGTTTTCGTTTTGATCGTTTTGTGTTTTCTTCTTCTTCTTCTTTTTTCTCAGAACGAGTGACGATGGTGATGATGAATAGAATGATGGACCAAGGGAAATGGTTTGGTAAGATGTTCTGGGAGGAATTCTGTGTTTTTCTCAGGGTGAGAGCCCAGTGTATAAATGTGTAGCGTGTACATGCGTTGAGGCTCGTCGATACCCGGCAACATGATGACTGTGCGCCACCGGCCATTGCTTTCCGCCGATTTCTGCTTGATGAATTTTGCTCTGCTTACTGCGTCGTGTACTGTTGATACATCCATCGTGAAATGGTGGTGTGGTGATTCGCGGGCTACGTCCAGGATGGGAAAGTCCAGATGTGGTGTATGAAGTATATAGGATAAAATAATCAAATCGGCTTCCAAGCAAGATCCGCTACAACAGGCGCGCAACGCCTGAAATCTTCCGTAGTATAGTGGTCAGTATGCAAGCTTGTCACGCTTGAGACCCGGGTTCAATTCCCGGCGGGAGAGATCCGCCAAACCTCCAAGAGGTTGATTTTTTTGCCTTTTTTTCTTCGTCTTCTATCTATATAAACAGATGGCCGGCCACCCACGTACCCTCGGACTTTTCTTCTCCGTGGCTGCAGCTGCATTTTCATATTTCTTTTCATCTTGTAACAAGTGCTGTCCAAAAGCTACCCCACGAAGGGGTTGCCTTGGTCTCGCTTACGCGCGTGCATACCGCCTACACCAACGAAATGCCGGGCCGATCGGCATTTTCAACCCGATAGCTGGCGTGGGCGCTGCGGCGCAGGTGGATGCTCCCGGGAAATACGGCATGGAGTTGCAGGCATCCCAGTGGCCGATTCCGACCAGCTTTTCTCTGCTAGATACGCGTTCACAGGCTGTGGAGAGCAGCAGCAAGCAGCGATTCGAGACGGCGGGCCGGTTCTAGAATGCCTTCACAATGGGGGGGTTTCGCGTTGTGGGTTTCATGATATGTGCGAAGTAGGCCATTGTTGACGCTTGTCCCATGTACCTGACACACAATCCGGCACGGATTTGCCATCGGGATGTGGTGCGACATGGGACAATGTGCGGGAAACGGGTGAGATGAGGTGAAGGATGCGTTGATTGGGGCGCCAACGGATGGAGGGCATTACGAATACTTGCGCTTTTTCGCAGCCAGTCGTGAGAGTGAGCCAAGAATACCAAGAGGAAGAAACCCTGCCAGTGCGGTTGATTAGTTTGATGGTTTTGACAAGTGGGTGTTGTGTCGTGTGCCCGTTTACTCTTGTCGTTGCTCCGTACTAGAGGACAAAGGGGAAATGATGTTCCTCTCCTTAAACAGTTGAACCTTGTATCAGGGATGTCAATTAATGAAAGGAGATGATGGATTTTTGCGCCTAAGCTCAAGCGCAGCGAGACCCCTCCATACAGCACCCATAGCACCCTGTACTCGTACACAGGACATTCTGGATACGCATTCGCCCTTTGCTGGAGCAAGTGCTGGGTACCTAACCTGCTCGTTTGAGGACGTGTTTGCCGGGATTGATTGGACAGGAAACGTCTAGCGGCGAGGCGCCTGGTGGCTTGCAGCAATGACGCAGGGAGGTGGGATGGGGGAAAGCGCACACGAGTGGTTGCCAGGAGGGGTTTAGCGCGTAGTGTTTTGGGGGAGGGATTGTGGGAATGGGAGTTTGATTTGTCTGGGGGGAAGGAGCTGAGAAACTTGAGAACTGAGAAACTTGGGAAAGTGCGTATTAATTGGATAGAGGTAGAGGAAAACACTGTACAAGAGGAGAGAGAGGAGAGGAGAGAGAGAAAAGGCATCTACAGCTTGTGATACTGTGCAATGACTGTGTGGTTCCTACATATTCATCATCTCTTAGTAAGAAACATATGGAATCTCTTGTACAATTCCACATTCATCCAGCAATGCCACGCATCCTTCTCTCTCTTTCTCCGGACTTTTACTTGCTCGCCTTGCCTTGCTATTTCTCCATCGCTCCACCGGCATGACCCTCGCTCGTCTGTTTCAACCAGCGGCCTGCATTAGCGTGCTGATACCACTCCAAGCACCTCCTCCAAAGCACGGATGCAAAGGCAACGGGGGACGGAAGCCAAAAAGCAAAGAGGCTAGTTGATCCGAATCATCGGTTGGGCGTGGCGATTACGCAGCCCCGTCCGGGGTGTGTCTTGTTTGCGTCTCGCGGGAACGACGAAAGAAGGGGAGGGGGGAGAGACAGAAGGCGAAACTCCGGCCGCTTGGCCGCCGTCATTGTGCTGTCAGCCGCGTACACGTAACGGTGGGTTTGGAGGTGGTTAAGACAAGGAGCAGAGAGCAGGGCGAGATACCTACTAAGTAAGAGGTCGAAGCCGAAGCAGAGGGGGAGAGTTGTCTGCTGGTTCGCTCTTACAACGTACGAGTACACGCTGCAGATTTCTGGTCTCTTTGCGAGGGCAATCTGGGTATTCATTCCTGCTGCCATCATCATCACTAACTGTTACTATTCTTTTCTTTTCATTTTCTTTCTTACAACCGTCATTATAAAGGAACAAAAGTACAAGGACAAAGAGCTTGGGTACATCGATTCTGCCTGTCAAAGCGCTTGGCAGGGCTGCTGCTGCAATTGCTGCTCATGCGCTCCAACAGCTGCACACGCCCACACTAACAGCACTCGCCAAGTGCATACACGCCCACCACATCCTTGCCTTGTCTTCATCTCTCCCTCTCCCCTTTCTCGCTTCCTCCTCTTCCTTTTTCATTACAAGTATTTCTCCTTGTGTAACTGAAGCGGCTCTTGGACGTGTTCTTTTGGTTTCCGCTTTGTTGATTGCTCTATTCCCTTTTGTCTTGGATTCCTATACTCGCCTGGAATTGTTCTCCTCCAGAGAAGCTTGGACGATCTACCCACTTGATACGCATCCTTTTTGGACACAGGGCCCCCTTGGATCGACTCGACGGGACCGGTAGCTCCATATATCTCCCTTGAACGACTCCAGTCTGCAACTCAGCATTCCGAGATCCGAAGGCCAAGCTCAACCTCGATTTCTCGCCTCTGCACATCTTCATTCGCCGCCATGATACCCTCATCCTGGACCTCGATCCTCTTGGCCGCCTGTGCCTTGTCCACGGCATTCGCCTCACCAACCACGCGCTTCCAACGCACAAAACGGTTAACGCCCAAGTACTTCACCGAGCCCGGCGGCAGTCTTGCGCGGAGCCACTACGACCAGCGCTACTTCAAGGGCGAGATCTCCTACGAGGAGCACCGCGATGTGCTGCGGCAGCTGATCCGCAGCTACCTGATGACACTGCACGAGCACGGCGTCGAGACGTGGCTGGCGCACGGCACGCTGCTGGGCTGGTGGTGGAACGGCCAGATCATGCCGTGGGACTACGACCTGGACGTGCAGGTGTCCAACAATACCATGACGTGGCTGGGAGAGAACATGAACCGCACCGAGCACACGCACACCTTCAACGACGTCTCCAAGACGTATCTGCTCGACGTCAACCCGCACCACGTCGACTTGACTCGCGGCGACGGCATGAACATCATCGACGCCCGCTGGATCGACACCAGCAACGGCATGTTCATCGACATCACCGCCGTGCGCGAGCGCGATGCCGACATGCCCGGCACTTGGAGCTGCAAGAACAGGCACCGCTACGGCAGCCAGGACCTCTGGCCCATGCGCACCACCGAGTTTGAGGGCGTCAAGGCCCGCATTCCCTACAACTTTGAGGACATTTTGCGCGGCGAGTACGGCGACAAGAGCTTGGTTGTGGAAGAGTTTCAGGGGTAAGTTGAACAAGAAAACAAAAGAAAGCCGTTGAGCGGCCGTCGTTGAGACAAGTCAAAGGCTGTGAGGCTTGGCAAAGTCAGCCCCGCGGCGAACCCCCTTGCAAGCTTCGGCAGCCCGCCTCCTTTTTTTTTTCCTTTTTTTCCTTTTTCTTTTCCCACATTTTGCCATGATTCGATTATCCCCTGCTAATATCTCCTTTTTTTTTTTAGTCATCGCTGGAACCGCGATATTAATGAATGGGTCAAGATGACCGACGACGAAATCAAGCAGCGCAGGGAAGCCGCCGAGCAGCGCAAGAGAGAAGAGCTTGAGAACAAGGGCCATGAGTAAAGGGAGGGGAAACATTCCTAGCCGTTTAGTGTTTTTCCATAACCTTTTTTTCACCATTCTTTTTTTCCTTTTACGGGTACTTTTAATAGGGGGGAATGGGTAAAGGGCGAAAAGCAACGGAGCATTTCTGGCGTTTGTTTTTTGTCATACGAGACGGTTGCTTTTCAGGGTGTTTTCTTTTTTCGTTATATATATCCCTTGCCGTGTAATTGGTTTATTGTACATAGTTGGATAACCAGGCTTGGTTAATGAGTCATGTCTATTACATTCCGTGTGAGAAATGGTGCTTTTACCTTGTATTTAGATAGACTCACCGGCCAAGATGTTTGAACTTTGTATATGTATGTATATGCAACAAACACATATAATCATGATCAGATATAAAACATCTGCCCAACGCCATTATTCATCCTCCTGCGCCGCTGCCATCCATCTCTTCCACGCCCGCAAATCCATCTCATGCCGCTCATCTCCATCCCATCCTCCAATCCTCGGCCCCGATCCCAAATCCACCAACGGCACCAAACTCGGCCGTCCATGCGCACACTGAAACGGCAACGCGCATTTCGCAAGCCGTCGCACCAGCTGCTCGCACTCCTCAGCCGAAAGAGCATCGTTGAACATGATGGCACCTGCAACACATAAGTCAGCTCAGTCCCAGAAAAGATGGCAGGTGACGACATACTTCGACAGGCCCTCGAATGCAGCAACTCGAGGATCCCTCTGGGACAGCCGCGGAAATTGGCCGTAGGAGGTTGAATTTGAGCTTGTCCATCTACTCTTCCAGCACTGCGCGGCCGTGGGGGTAAGATGCCCTCGTCGTCGAGTTTCCATATCTCCTTGCGCATCAGTTCCACCAAAAGGCGCGGATCGGTACGACAGCGCTCCAGGATACTCGGAGGCAGAGCCGAGACGGCCACCGTACAGCCACCACTCTCTTGTTTCGTCGAGGCTGCTCGTCGTTGGGCCTTATACAGAATGCCCCATGCTTCGAGATGCTCCTGATACCGCAACAATAGATTGTGTTCTCGCTCCGAGATTTCAAATATCAAGGGTCGCTCGAGAGGCTCAACGACCGCCTTCGGGATCCCATTCGAACCATCTTGCCTGAAGTAGCCCGCCATGAGTTCCTCCAAACGGCATCTCTCGTCTGCAGCATGCTGATCGAGCATCACCAGGGCACACGAGCTGTTCGGCTCTCGCCCGCTCGTAATGTTACTCAGGGGAAGCTTCAGTAATATGAACTTTTTATCGACTTGTGCAACGACCTGTGCTGCCGCCAAGGCTGATCGCGACACGCGGCCCTCGATGCCGATGGATGCTGACTCGAACCTGACTTCTCCTTTATCCTCGTCGCAGCACCGACGCGAGCCAGGATGTGATATCGCATCACGCCTCGGTTCTGGCGCTTCGTCGTTGATGCGTGGTATAGCAGGTCGAGCTGTTTCAAAGACGGGGTTTTTCCATGACTTGAGGATGTTTTGCAGCCATTCGCTTGGTTCCTTCTTCTCGCCCACCTCTGTCCTCTCTTTCGGTATCCCATCTCTGAAATCCGACCCGCTCACTTTTGGACGCTTTGCTTCTTCACTTGGCAAATCTTCTGCCACTCTCTTAGGGCGTTCAGCAAGAGCCAAAGGGCCTGTTTTAGATGTATCTTGAGATTCAGATTCCACCCCCTTTCCAAGCGTTGCTCTTGGGCTGAGAGGGACTGAAACGTCAAAGGGTTTGCGGAGCAGTTGGCCTCCCTCACCAATCAGCCGATTTGTCACAATGGTTTCCGAGTTGGTTCGTCTCGTTTCATGCCTCCGCAGCACCTCTTTTTCGGACCTATGTGCTGTCCGTAGACCAACCCTCATCCTATTCCATCCGTCAAAAGGACTGTCTGAGAGGGATGATACTGGGTCAGACGGCAAAACTTGCGACGGGGGGGCTTTTGAAGCTGCCGTTGAGGATTGACGCCCCTTGGTAGCCCGGATTGTGCGACGGTGTGGAGCGGTTGAGAATACAGACTTGTCTGAAGATGGCTGAATCCTTTGAGGGCGCATGTGGTGCTTCTTCAGGAAGCTATAAATGACTACCCTGAGCAAATCAATAATTCTTTCAAGATCCCCATGTGAATGGCTAGAAGTGTCATCAACGTCGAATAAATCTTCAGTCCCTTTGAGTGTGATTCGAAGATAGAACATGGGCCATCGGTCCACCCCTTTGCCTTTCCTTTGATTTGGGCCAGCCCCAGTATTGGACATGCCATCTTGGTGCTCAACGATGCCAAAATCCGAAGATGCAAACATTCTGTTCACCTCCTCGTACAAAACATTGCTTCCATACTCGTTTGAGACTGGCAATATCCCTACGCTCATAAACTGAGATCGGCGTGTCGCAACAGGATTCAGAGAAATGCAGCCCTTGATTGTGATGTGGCCAGCAGTTGCTGATACCGGTTCCCACGAGTCCACGTCGCCAGAATCTGCTAATGATGCTTGCGTGAAGAATCGTAACGCTCTAGAAACCATGTTTGCATTCTCCGGTGGCTTTAGACGTAGCTCACGCTGTCCTTTGGTCTCACGCAAGGCCACGGTGACCCCAGAAGGCCAAGATACGAGCAAGCCGACCACATCATGAACCAGACGCCCCCACTCCTTCTCAAGCCCATGCCGGTCCGAGAAGAGGGTAGCCCGGTGTTTAACACGTACGGGAAGAGAGCCAAATAGGTTGTTGACGGCAACTCGCGTGCCGTGATCAAAGATTTGGAATCGATCTCCAGGCAGAGAAGGCGCCTGTCTCTTCAAGAGCTTGCCATGATGAATCGAGATGGTGTTGTGCGAATTGTAGCGATAGTGATGGGATGTAACCGTAAGTAGAGACAGCGTGCTCAGGGAAGATAAAAACGCTCCCTGTCTACCGTAGAGCCCATGCTGGGGTGGAAATTTAGATGTAACTGGACACAAGCAGTTAGTATCACAGCCAGGAGATGGCAGAAACAGCTCCATACAGTAGGGTTTTCCGAGCCCTCCATCCTCTGCAAAATCGCCAGGACTAATTCCGAGCCCATTGTCCTCTACAGTGCAGTTTCCTCGGCCGTATTCAACGTAGATGTTGACCTTGGTGGCGCCAGCATCAAGCGAGTTCTTGAGCAGGCCGCAGACGACGCCATTGAGGGACGTGATGGTCGACGAGGACCTGATTTTCCCAACGACATCCTCCGGGAGCGGCCTGATGGACATGGCACATGATGCTTGATTGGGCGTAGGCGAGATCGAACCCGAAGATGAGCTGAAGCTGATCTGCCGAGTGTCGTGATACGAGCCAGGGTCATGTAAGATTAGTTGTTACCATTCCGGGCATGGATGGTTAGGCAAGACCTAGAGCGTCAGGCCGAGTTCGGGGGGGGAGAAACACGGGGGTTTGTTGCACAAATGCTCCAGAAACTGTATGTGCAGCAGAGCGTATGTACAGCACTGGAGGATTGCTGTAATGGCTCTTGAACGAACAGGAGACAGACGGTGATGCTCGGTTGATGTCGGTGAATCGGGACTAGAGGTACAAGTAGGTACGGAGTACGGTAGAAATGAGCTTAGCGCCAGGCCCAGTTTGGCAGCGGCATTTCGTCATCGTCAGCTGCTCGGGGCCGCCTTCATGTGATGCGGCATCACGTGACGGACCCCTGCCTTTGATGCCGAAATGATGCTCAACCTCGACTCCGGCGCTATTGTTTCTAGCGTTGCACCATCATGCCCATTTTGGGTATCAACCTCTGTCTCTTCGCGATCCGTCTGTGACTCTTGTCCCTCGCATATTATCTTGCCCGTCACGTTCCTTTTCCTTGCCGCCGCGTCTCGAGAGCCCAATCATCCGAATCGCCCGCCCCCTGCGTGTCGTAGCCTTGCCGAATCCCCTCTCGCCCGTGCAATCTCCATCTGTGCCTGACGCCGTCCAACCACCGCGCCGACGACAAATCTGCCGCCCCTTGGAGCCGCTCCCGCGGCATTCCAACTTGCTCGTCCTTGATGGCGACTACCAACCTTATCGCAGAGGCTCACGGTACTGTCTTTTTGCTTTTCGCCGCCCTCCCTGCGCCTGGACGTGCCCTGTGACAACATCAGGCGTCTCCAGCCCAAGCAGCCTTGAAGCACTAACACCTAGATAGATGGCCAAGCACAGCAGCGGCGAAGACCATTCTCGACATGGGTCAAGAAGCTCACCAACTTCAAGTCATCGTCGGACGGCGAGCGGCAGAAACGACACATAAGAATACGGCGAGGCCCCAAGCTCAACAATCCATATCCCCAGTCCGGGCACGTCAGTTCCAACCATGCCAACGGCCAAAGCTCTTATTCGTTCGCTACTGGCCGCACCGACTGTAGCCTCTCTACGCTAGATCAGCCAACTCGCTTTTCAGCGGATGGGTATGCACCACCGACTGTGGGCAGGAGGAGCTTAACCACGACCATGTCCACCGAAACCGAGCCCGATCGCCCTCGATCCGTCATCGCGCCGAGTCGCGCGCCGAGCTCTGTGACGGGAACGAGCAGGACTGTTGGAGGAGGACAAGAATCCAGAAGAGGCGGCGATAGCACATTTTCAAGCCCGTCTCCATCAGTCAGGTCCCTCGCTACAACATTGACCACCATTCAATCCTTTGCCCCCCATGGACAAGCCCCGGTTGCTCCTACTCACAGCATCACTCAGTCAATCCAGTTCAGCCAGCCGTTCCCTACGGCTTCCCCGGCATCGGCCATTCCAGCGCATCTTATCCCGGCGAACCACCTAACGACATACACCACGGCCACGGCCAACAACCTCCTCACGGACAATGCATCCATTCTGACTCTGGCTTCGTCGAGCAAGCGAGGTCGCCGGCGATCGATGGATACCGATGCGTCCGTTCGTGCTCTTGCTCCATCGTCTCTCTGGGGCGGCAGCCGCGAAAGTCTGCCCCTGAGCGTCCTCAGCGCCAACATCGACCCTACGTCCAGCCTTCACAACGCCTCCAGGCTCGGCGCAGAACGCAACAGCATATACTCTGCAACCGGAGTGGCTCCAGCGATCCCGAGCGAGCGCAACAGTCTCTATGCTAAGCAGGGCGACGGTGCAAGCGTCAGGAGCGGCCGCCTGGGACACGGCCGACCCGATAGTATAAGCGGCAGCGTTGCACTCGCCAGCCCTCGAGAGGTACCTGATAAGAAGAGCCTTGCCGAAAACCGAGAGGACAGCCAGCTAACATCGACTTCCAAGGAGGACTAAATTTGCAACATTCGTTTTGAGCCGCCATCTTTTTTTTTCTTTTTTTTTGTACTGGGCGTTTTGGGGGAGGACTGTGTCCGCATTCTTTAGACGGGCCTATATACGAGACTGGGTCAGGAACGGGTTCCTTTTATTCTTGTTTTTTTTTTTTTTTTTTTTTGCTTTCCCGTTTTTCTTTCGGTCTTTTTCTCTCTCTGCGTTTTCTATCCTTTTATTATTTCAAACGGGAGGGGTAAAGACTTGAAGGATGTGGCAAACGTGATACCCTTAAACATACGACAAATTGCAAGTGTTTTTTTCTGTTGTTTTATTTCTTTTTCTTTCGTGCACAGAACTAAGCACGGTGAGTGGAATCTTTATGTTGAAGCATGGTGATGGACCGTGTAGCATCCGTGCTATTATATTAGTCTTAGTTACTTAGTATAAACCGAAGTTCGATGTAGGTGTAGAATCTGAAATTGAATTCCAACTCTACGAAACTGCATGTGCATTCTAGTGATTATAGCAAACGCATTTAATTTAGATCATCAAATATTAGCAAGACATTTGAACAGAGACTGACGGTTATGATAAGTTGAGATTTCATCGCTGGGATTCTCGAACCTTGCCGTCTTAGCGGATGAGCCACTGTGGCGCCCGCTAGCAGCAGCATCAGAAGCTCTCCCGCAGCTCCAGCCTCTCCGTCCCGCCATCGTCATCGCGCGCTGGCAGGGCGACAAAGATGGCCATCTCGGTACGTGAGCTGTGAATTCAGCCTTGCAGCAGCTCTCCCCTTTGAACGCTGAGAATCTTCTTCTGTATTGCATCCGTGGAAGCTAATTCAGCTCACAGTGGAAGTCGTTTGACTTCTTCGACGTCACGCAGGTGGCGCTGCCCGACGACGAAACCCGCCAGCTCTTTGAGAGCAACGACATCTCCAGCGTCTGCACAGGCTCCGACAGCCTGTTTGTCGGCTCCAACGATGGATACGTCAGCATCTTGGGCAAGGGGTGGAAGGTCATCAGGCGGTTCCAGGCGCATGAGGCGCGCATCACACACATGCGTCAGGTGGAGGGGACGAGCCTGCTGGTGACGATTGCGGTGAGCCATCTCCACGGCGTTTTCGAGAGCGTGCGCTGACTGTTGCTTAGGAGGACATGAGCAGCGAGCCGACGCTCAAGGCCTGGGCTCTGGACAAGTTGATTAAGAGGACCAACATGCCAACCTGCCTCAGTACTTTGACGGTCAATAACGGGAGGCGGCAGTTTCCGGTGGGTTGCTTCTAATGTGATCGAGAGGCGCTGTGTTGACCTGGGACATACAGATATCGGCATTCGCTGCGCTTGACGACCTTACGCAAATCGCAGTGGGTTTTGCAAACGGCGCGGTAACCGTCATCCGGGGAGATCTTGTCCATGACCTGGGGACCAAGCAGCGCATCGTATACGAGTCGGAGGAGCCCGTGACTGGTGTCCAATTGACAACCCAGGAGAGTTCAACAACTCTCTTCATCTCTACAACCTCGAGGATATTGCAATTAGCATTATCTAGAAGGGGGCAGGGCTCACCACCAAAAACGATCGAGGACTCTGGCTGTGCGGCGGGCTGCATGACGGTTGATCCCAAGACGGGGGATATTGTTGTCGCCAGAGACGATGCCATATACACATATAGGCTGGATGGGCGTGGGCCACCTCGAGCATACGAGTCCCCCAAACGACTCGTATCTATGCACAACGACTACATTGCCGTCGCGGGTCCGTCATCTGTTAGCAGCAGCAGAGACCCCGAGGCTTTGCGGAGAAGATTCGGTTCGGCGACGGCAGATGGTCTATTTAATGCGTGGACCTTTGTTCTCCTGGAAGCGGATCTGCGAGTGGTTGCCCACACCGAGACGCTCATCTCCCCTGTCCGATTCATCTTTGAAGTATGGGGGGATTTGTTCACAATCACCGAGGAAGGAAAAGTACGGCTACCAAACTTGGAATTCTCAGCCATGTATGCTAACGGTATCCTCAGACCTACCGATACCACGAGAAGCCGCTTCAGCAGCGTCTGGAAATGCTCTACCAGCGCAACATGTTCCCCCTCGCGATTGAGCTGGCTCAGAACTCGGGGATGAATAACGAGCAGCAGAGCCTCATCTATCGTCGGTTTGGAGACCATCTATATCAAAAGTCCGACTATGATGGAGCAATGAACCAGTACATTCGAGCCATCGACGCTACTGAGCCTTCTCAAGTCATCAGAAAGGTGAGAACCCTTTTTTCAAAGCATACTTCAACCGCTGACCAAGAGTTCAGTTTCTGGATACACAAAGGATACACAACCTGATTTTATACTTGGAAAAACTGCACCACCACGAAAAGGCTACATCCGACCATACCACGCTCTTGCTCAATTGCTATGCTAAGCTTAAAGACATTAAGAAGTTGGAAGAGTTCATCATGGCTCCGGGAGACTTGAAGTTTGATTTGGATACAGCCATTACCATGTGTCGGCAAGGTGGCTACTACCAGCAAGCTGCGTATCTGGCCAAAAAGCACGGCGAGACCGAGCTCGTTGTAGATATCTTGATTGAAGATTCGAAGAGTTATGATGAGGCACTGGATTACATTTGGCATCAGGATCCTGCAATTGTCAGCGTCCCCCTTCCCCTTTTTGGCCAGCCCGATACTGACTGCTCTAGGCGTATCCGTGCATGCAAAAGTACGCCAGGGTTCTGATAGAGCATTGCCCCAAGGACGCGACAAAGCTGTTTGTGGATTACTATACTAGCAATTATCGACCGCGGCGCACGGTAGTTGTGCCCATTGAGGAGGTTGCCGAGGCTGCAGCTCCAGGCGGCTCAGGGTTAGCTGCCGGGGCTGCCAGTGCCGTACAGAACCTGACCAACCTCCTCATCCTACCTTCATACATCAGTCCCGCAACCGGAACGCCAGGAAGCGCAAGGCCGACCGAAGCCGTCGTCTCGGTAGACGAAGACGATTTACCGATACCCAAATACAATCCCCCGCCGCCCCGGACGGCATTCTCATCCTTCATCGACCACCCCGATGAGTTCATCACATTCCTGGAGGCATGCCTGGAAGAAGAAAAGCTGAGGGATCTTCACAGCACCGATCTGTATACCACCCTGTTTGAAATGTACCTGCACAAGTCCAACGAGAAAAAGGGCAGTTTACACAAGGAAGAGTGGGAAGCAAAGGCAAAGAAACTCATTGAGGGCGACCATGTGCCAATGGAGAGCTCCAATGTGCTCCTATTGTCACATCTATCAAATTTCCAGGACGGCACCGTTTTGGTCAAGGAGCAGGCTGGGCTACTGTCCGACATTTTCAGGTCTTATACGTCGGCAAAGGACACACGCGGGGCGTTGAAGGCACTGAGAAAGTACGGGCCGGAAGAGCCGCAGCTGTATCCGGCCGCCTTGGCATACCTCACGTCGGATCCTCGGGTGCTAGAGGAAGCCGGGCCGGATGAGCTGGCAGCCATCCTGACCAAGATTGACAAGGACGGGCTCATGGCTCCGCTACAAGTCGTTCAGACTCTTGTTGGACAAAACTCTGGCGGCGGCGTGGCTACCATGGGAATGATTAAGCCATATCTTCGTGATACAATCACCCGCGAGCGCAAGGAGATTGCCCAAAACCGGAATCGAATATCCACGCTCCGCGCCGACACGGAGAAGAGACGCAGCGACCTGGAAGATCTCAGTTCGAAACCTGCCGTGTTCCAAGCCACGCGATGCTCCGACTGCGGCCAGGGGCTGGACCTCCCAGCGGTGCACTTTATGTGCAAGCACAGTTTCCATCAACGATGCCTCCGCGGCGGCGGCGAGGATGACGAGATTGAGTGCCCCAAGTGCGCTGGCGAGAATGAGGTGATCCGCAAGATGAGGGAGGGGCAGAGGGAGCGAGCTGGGCGGCACGAAATATTCAAAGCAGATTTGGAGAACAGCTCTGACCGATTTGCGACCATTTCCGAGTGGTTCTCGCGAGGTGTGATGGATGCGCAGGGCTCAACCCAGGCTTCTTGATTTTCTCTTATACAGGCGGGCGCAGGCGATGAGGCGGTGTATTTACCATGTTTCCCTCTTGTTTTGAGTTTCATTATCATTTTCACTTTTTGGGATACATATCTAGACTCTTTGATAGTAATTGTGACATGAAGCCAAGAAAGTGATGCTTTTGTGGCCCGTTTGCTTGTTCTTCTGTTAGTCCGGAGCTTTTCGGTTCAAGTGCCGAAAATGCCCCGCGTCTCATGTCACCTCAGATGATGTTGTAATAAGTCATGTCACTTGATGGCACATACATGCATTTTAATCCGTTTAATTAACACTCACTCACCACTTGTCAATTCATCTCTCTCGCACCATATCATGGCCCATTCAGATTCAGACTCGTCCACGATGCGTCCAAATCCAAAGCAACTGGTCGACTTCTTCTCTCGCTCGCTCACGTCCTTTCACTCATCGCCGGATGTCTTTCGCATCCTCTGCACGCTGCCACATGCCGGCGCGGAGCCGGTCTCGCGGCCGGCATCGGGAGTGCGCAGGTTAGTGGTTTTGGATTCAAGTTTTAATCCGCCGACGAGGGCGCATGCGGAGATGGCGAGGTCTGCGCTGAAGTGGGCTTCTTCGTCGTCGTCATACTCGGAGGGCGCTTCTTTTTCTTCTTCGTCGCACTCGGATGGGACGAGGCTGATGCTGTTGCTGAGCGTAAACAACGCGGACAAGGCACCCAAGCCGGCGAGTTTCCCGGTGCGGCTGGGGATGATGGAGGGGTTCGGGCGGGATCTGCTGGGGAGTCTGGGGGATGTCGGGACGGAGATTGACCTGGCGGTTACGACGATGCCGTATTTCCACGACAAGGCGAGGGTGATAAGCGAGAGCTGGATGTATTCTTCTTCTTCGGAGGGGCGGGAGCCGGAACAAGTGTTTCTGGCGGGGTTTGATACTGTGATTCGGATATTCAATCCAAAGTACTATGGGGACGGGGGCATGAGGGCGGCGCTGGGGCCGTTTTTTGAGAGGGCGAGGTTGAGGGTGACGATGAGGACGGATGATGAGTGGGGAGGAGAGGAGGAGCAGAGGGAGTATGTGAGGGGGTTGGGAGAGGGGAGGTTGGACGATGTTGGGGGGGATGTTGCGTGGGCTGGGAGGGTTGATTTGGTGGAGGGGAGGGGGGATGGGGTGAGTAGTTCGAAGGTGAGGGATATGGTGAAGAGAGGGGAGAAGGAGGGGCTGGAGAGGTTGGTTGATGGGGAGGTGATGGGTTGGATTGAGGGAGAGGGGTTGTATAGGGAATAGATGGGATGGGGATGGGGATTGTGGTGATGGTGTTGTGAGGTTTTGATTTTGATATTGGTTACCCGGGAGTTGAAGCGGGAGAATATTTTACATGGATGTGATGCGCCGTTTGAACGGTGGATGACTTGGTATGAATTTTCATTGTATATCCTAGCCTTTGAAGTGAATTTGAATATAGAATTGATCATGAAAATAAGCTGTGAATTGTTGGTAGATGTATATATCAATACGGAGCATGTACCCAGAGTGAAGGTACTTACAAAAGTTTGACCTGGAACGGCACAAACTGCACACGTCTCGGAGCTGGCCACCGTTTTCCAAATCACGCCTAGGATGGATTCAAATACAATGCCAACCATACTATTACGTTATTACCAATAGACATCAGCATCTCTACGCAGAAACGGTATTAACTGCTCTCTCGCCCTGAACATCACAAACGGCATCCTGTACCGTGCCTCTCGGAGCTGATAACCACATGCCAAAAAAAAAACAAGCCTCCAAAGAGCCACAGAATAACGGGGCATCTCAATTACTCTTACGAAATGCTTTCACTCTCTATCCATGCAAAAGACAGAAATTTTCCTCGCTGCTGCCTTGCATCTCGGCCATCTTCCTCATTTTTCCCTTGGTGCAGAGCCTTTTCAAACCGAACCTGAGTCAGCTAACATCTCAACCCCCTGTCCGTTTAGGCAACCAACCAACCAAACATCTCTGATACGGGAAATGAACCAGAAGCGGGTCCCATTTTTTCTGCCATTAAAAAAAAAACCTTTTAGGCGGTCAGCCCGCCCCACAGCAGCACCTATAAAACAACGCCTCGCCCGCCGTGCTTTTGATTTTTTTTTCTTTTCTTCTTTACGTCGACAATACTTCAGTATGTGCACCCCCAACTGCTGCACATCCCGCAGCCCCCGCAAAAAAACCAAGAAAGCCGGTCATGCTAACAAATCGCCTACAGGAGAATCATTTCTATAGTATTCGTCTCTTGCTTTGGTTCCCAAAAAAGCCATCGAATCCACCCTGGTTGATGATTGTATATCCTCGATACCCAAGAGTGAATTTTTCTGGTCCTCTCGCCCTGTCCGCAAGGATGGCGGCAGTCGCCTTGTGCTTCTGCTGTATAGAGAGTTGTTTTTTTCTCTTGATGATCTCGACCCTGCCGGTGGTCTGCCTTCGGGCGCGCTGGTAGGGTGGGTGTCGATGGACGTCTGACAGGCCCTTTTCCTTCTTTTCATTGCTGCTTGGGGCTTGCCCTGATGGTGAAGAAGAGATTTGACACGTACTCTGTAATTCAAGCACATTAGATTATAGTGTAGTGTGTGGTTCACGGTGGACGAATTCACGGTAAATGCAGTGGTTTGGACACGGCGGCGTGAATCCCAAGGATCTGTCTGGGAATTTGATATTTCGCTTTATGACTATCCACCCAACTTTCCTCTACTGTGAAGCTGTTTATAGACCCCTTGCCCTTGCATTATAGGTCGCGTTTGGTGGAGAAGGATTAATGGCTTGCATGGAGCTGTCGCGCCTAGGACTAATTGTGGAGAGCTGTGAAGCATGCAAAACTTCATCGCGAGCCTAATCTACTTGATGATGTATCATGAGCTTCCTGGTCCTTTTCAAAGCCTACAAATGATCCTTTAATAGCAGCCACATGATACTTGACACCAGCATGGCCTCATAAAAGGATGGTTATGATCGGCATGTTTACACGTTCGCGTAAGACGCACCTTCCATCGTGAAAATGAAGAATACCTATTCAAATGTGTAGACACCTTTTTATCTTAGTCATTAGCCGTAACCATGATATCTGTATAGCTCCCTCTATTCTAGCCATCCAAACCTTTTTGCAACAAAACTCACGCATCCCAGTAACGCCGTCACGCCCGTGACTATAATCAAAATCCCATATCCGCTGCCATACCCTCCGATAGCCTGGCCCTGCCACGGCATCCCTTTAACTAGAGCCTCGCTTAGCGGGCCTGACGCAATATTCCCAACGCCTCTACCGATGGAAAGAAACGCAATCACCATGAGAGGATCATACCTGCTGGTGTTGACACTGCCATGGCGACCATCGGTGCTGATCGACTCTGCATCTGCAACGGTAGCAATCTTGATGACATGTCTCATGATGCCTGGCCATGAAGTGGTGAAAGACCCAGCAAAGACGCCGTAGACGAGGCTGAAGACGTACAAGATGCCAATGTTTGACCCAAGACCCCATAGCAGGAAGACGCCGAAAACAGCGCCCAAGGTGGATATCAAGATGCATGTCGTTACGTGCAGCCTGTCGACCAAGGTGCCCATTGTGATGGGGCCCACGACTGATCCGACATTGAGCACCAGCAGTGTTGCCGCCGAGGCGAAAGTGCTGGCGCCAAGCACATCCCGCGCATACGTGGGCAGGAAGATGCCCGGGAGGAAGAAGCCCAAGCCCTCGACAAAGTTGCCCAGCTGGTAGAGGGCAAAGACGCGGTTCTTCATGAAGCTCCAGTCGAGTGGTTTGATGTGAGCCGTCATGGCCGGCGGCAGGCGAGGCTTGACGAAGTAGATGAGCGGCATCGTCAGGGCGAAGAGGGCCACCGACCATATGCGCAGCGTGGTTCGGAAGCCATATCGGCTGAGCAGCGCCTCGAGCACCAGCGGGATGGTGAAGCCCCCAAGCCCGGTCCCTGACCACTGCCACTTGGTGAGCTCAACTCTCGACAACTACTTGTATATGCCACAATGAGACGGAGATGACTCACCATCAGACCGTAAGCAAGTCCTTTGCGGCGGTCAAACCACTCGTCGACATACATGAGGCACGGGTTGTAGGCGATGGAGCCGCCAATGCCGTACAGGGCGCCCTGTGTGAGGATGAGATGCGTCGTGTTTTGTGAAAAGGACGAAAGCGCGAGAGCCACGCACATCATGAGCAGGCCGGCGGTCGGGTTCCAGCGGCCCTGCTTGGGATAGATGCGCGCGAGAGCAATGACCAAGGGAGCGTCGAGGTACATGATGCCCTGACTCGAGTCAATGGGAAGCTTGTACGAATGGCCTTGTGCTACTCACCATGGCGCAAGTTCCTATAATGGCAGTCTTGGATGAACCGGCAAAGGGTTCGTGGGTGCGGTAATACTCCTGGAAGATGCCAAATGCGAAAGGAAAACCTATTCATCCCGTTGGGTTAGCATACTATAACCATTGGGTTCTGCGTACAATTCCTATTCAACTCACCCCATACCATGGCCTCCATCACGAAGCAGGCTGCCAGAAAAAGCCATGCATCTTTGCCTGTGTCGACGGGTGGCAGAGAATAGCCCTGGTTCTCGTCCTCTTGCTGTGCCTCCACGTCGTCAGGGCGAACTTCTACCGCCGCAGTGGAATCATCTTTGCCCTTTCCCTTCTCGCCATTGTCCAGCGGGGAGTTGACATTGTGGTCGATCAGGAACGTGATTGTGGGAGTCGGCGATGATGGCGTCGTCACTGTCGGCGACGTGGATGGCGTTTCGGCAGGTGTGGGCTCGGCCGTAGGCATTGAACACCCGGCTCCGGTGGATGGGGATGTGTGTTTCGATGATCTCACAGTTTGAATATCGAAATGTGTGTTTAACAAATTTGGACTGAAAATTCCAATGAAGCAGCTTGGATAACCAAGATCCCGCGCGGCGCAAAGAGTCTAGATGCTGCCAACAGAGATATCTCACAATCCGTATTGCTCCAAGGCGGCTTTTGTACCAGCTAACCTTTGTCCAGATTTAAAGCAGAAGCATTCTCCCTTTTTCTTCTACTTCATTCCTATGGCGCCTTCTCGCTGGTTTATATATCCAGCCCCCTCCTTCGCCATCCACTTGGCCGCGCTACTCACGATACGTTTATCCCAGAGTGGCTCTGCGAGGTTACCAAGTCTTCTCCCGGTGGTCATACCCAAGGATGGAACCACGGAAGAGAAGGAAAAAAAAGAGTTTATTTCACTTTCATTCTAGCTTGCCTGTCAGATATCACACTTTCTGGTTTCGGCAGTTTGATTGATACTGCCCGCGGCCCTCACTAAGAAAGAGAAGTGCACATATCAAGCCGCCAGGGATTCTCTTACGAACCGGTTTGCTCTCCCCCCAGCATCAAGGTGCAGGTATGGAGCGTCCAAACCATGTGTCGACCCCGTCGTGCCATTAACAACGGACCGGGGATGCATCGAGCTTGACGTGTGTTTTTTTGTCTAAACCAGGGGATGGCAAACGCAGCCCCCCACCGGTATGCGTGCGAGTACTTTGGCTATGGAGCTTTTCTGGCTCGGCGAACGATGGCGGCAAACCTCTTTCCCCCTTTGCCCCACGAACGAACGTTGTAGCAGCCCGGAGATGCAAGGAAGGGGAGAAGAATGAAAAAACCAAAAATAACCAAAAAAAAGCATCGAGTCAGCTGAGCTGCTATTGTCACCTTTGAACCAACCCCCTGGTCGGATGTTCTCTGTTTCGTCAACCTAGACAGAGTGCTGTACATATCACATCGCGATGCCGGACGCACGAAATATGGGGCTGTGAACTTGCGGTAAACCATTCTTCTTCTTCTTCCTCTTTTTTCTGTGTCTCTTCTTTGTGCTTTCTCATTGCTATCCATCATCTGTTAACCACCTCTGACGAGGGATGTGAAAAGCGCTAGATCTTTAATAGCCGAAGCTCTGTCATTCCTCAACCAGAAGCTCCTGTATATCAACTACCTAGACAAAACCACCAAGCTCCATACTATGCGCCAGCCGTTTGAAACAACCGAAGTTCTTCTGCTCTGCTCTCTCTCACCCCTCCCGAAAAAAAAAGGGGACCCTTACTCCGGAGTACTACGGTACCTTTCCTGTTAAAGCCGTGTATGCAAGATATGTACAGCTCTTCCTATTCGGGCAAGGATCCCTTTTCTCTCCCGGGGACCCTAAACCGTTCCCGCGATGGCGGCAGTGGCCGGTGGAGAAGATCTAGAACGTTGTTTTTTTTTGTTTGGGGATTCCATCAGAGCTATTCCCCTGTCGTTCCCTTTTGAGGACTTGCAGCATGGAGAAGAAGAGTGTGATGAAGAAAAAAACAACAGCCTAGATATGCATGTGATCACGCGGTTCGCAGACGTTGTAACAGATGACAGACAGACAGATGGAGCCATCTCAATGCTTCGCACAGTCCGAAGCAGTCATGGTAGTATTTTGTACGCAACAACAGCAACATCATCAACAACAAAAAAAAAGGTACATATGAGATTCTTCTTTTCTTTGAAATACACTTGGTTCGACGTTCATGTCCATTAAGCAAGCAAAGCAAAGCACGAAAAACAGGAGAAAAAAACACACAAAGAGACATGAAGAAAAAAAACCCAGACAAATACATGCAACGGCCATGCAGCCTGCCATCCCGTGAGACGATTTCGAACAAGTCATGCCATACCTAAATATGGAAAGAGGACAAAACGAAAAGCACACAACCAAAGGGTTAAAAGAAATACCCGATCCGCTCAAAAGAAAATGCCGGCTCTGCAGAACAAGACAAGCAAGGACCCCTGACAGATTGCCCCTCCTAAAAATATAACGAGGGAAAACCACAAGAGCAAGGGAAGAAAAAGAAAAAAGAACGGTATGCATGCAGATACCCACGCCTGCAAGATATAGCACCCACTCCCACTGAATCAATAAACAGAAAAAAGACGAGAGGTCATTGACAATGCAGCAGCTTGTTCGGACCGTTGCGGACATTTATCGAACTAGCAATAGTAGTAGTAACAAGATAAGGGGCTGCAGCTTTTTTCTTTGTTGCTGCAGCTCTTCACACAACTCTTCGGCTTTGCGCCGCTCAAATCGCTTGAAACGCCCTCCCGCTTGCTGACCTGCCAATGGTCTTGAAGGACTGATATTTCCCATCGGACCCCATCACGTCGAACCGCTTCAGGCCCATGGACGCATCGGTGTAGCCGCTGAAGTAGTACCCAATCACCACGACAAGGTACGTCAGCATCAGGATGCTGCCCTTGAAGTAGTTGCTCTTGCCCTCGCCGTACACGTAGCTGAGCAAAAACACGCACAGGACGACCGTCACAAGGTCCCATTGCGGGAAGAGCAGTGAAAAGGTGTACATGGCGGCATCGCCCCCGGCAGGGATGTTTGGGTACACGGCCGAGAAGAGCACGAGGCACGGGATTTGCAGCAGGCACACCTGGAGGGCGTATGCGGAGCCAATCTCCATCGATAGCGCAATGTTTCCGTTCATGGCAAACGAAATGGCGTTCTAAGCAAGCAGGAAAAAAAATTACCAATAGCGTCAGCAAAACGTGGGCACGGGGTCGGGGGATTGGATGGGAACGATGGGCGGGTGTGCTTACCAAGAACTCGGTAGTATTGGGGACCAGGGCAAAGAGGGTCAGCCCGAGAAACTTTTGGTCAATGGAGAAGCTCTCGAGCACGACGTCGACAGTGTCGACCAGGATCTCGGCAATGATGGCGTACAGGATGGTGGCTCCCAGCAGGATCACGGTGCTCTTGGTGCGGCTCCAGTTGGGCGCGTCGTGGCCGTGACCCCCTGCGGGAGCAGTTGCAGCTCCCGCAGTAACGGCGTCTTCCTCGAGGTCGGGGTGGTGGCTGGCTCGGCTGGTACCGTGCGGCCGCGGTGTTGCTGGGCCGGCGGCGCTGGACGGCTTGTGTGCACTCGTATACCGGTCGCGGGAGGCAATCGTGGCGGCCGTGGCGGCGATCTCGGCAACCTCTCGCACCAGGTTGTTGTCCACCTGGGCCAGGCCGGGGACCTTGATCGTTGGGCGCAAAGGCTGTTCCTCATCAGCACCCCTGGGCGGCACCACGTGAGGGGTGCTGTTCGATCCGTTGGCACCACCGGCATCCTGGGCAGCCGTGGAGCTCGGGCGGGAGGTCTCCGGCAGGCCGACCTGCTTGAGAGACTGGCCTAGAATGCGCTTGTAGAGATGCGTTTCGCGTATATTATCAGAGCCGGTGGCCTCGGCCGTTGACGGCTGCGGTGCTCGAAGAGTGACCGACGCGTGCATCGCCTCCTCGTGTTTCTTCTCATCCACCTCGGCGTTCCAGATGACGGCGGCGTGAGTGCGCAACGTGAACCACAGACCGACGAGGTATGCAAAGAAGAGCAGAAAGGCCGCACAATAGCAGTACGGCCGCACGGCTTCGATATAGAACCGGTCGTCGAGTGCGGGCGCCTGCGAGAAGTAGCACCGTCGGCAGTCGCGTGCGGCACCCCCGTTGAGGCCGCCGTTGCCATAGTCTTCGCAGTCCATGCAGTTGAGCTCATGGGTGCCATAGATTTGATAGAAGAGCGTTGGGCCGAAAGCGCCAACAACAGCAAAGAGCAGCATGGTGGACGTCACGCCGGCCGACTTGGCGTTGAATCGCTGAGTCTTTCGCTTCAGGGCTCCGAAACACATGGAGATGCCTGGCAGGAACAAGACACCGGCGAATATGCTTCCCACGATGCTTCCCTCGACGAGCTGGCCTTTGCCTTGGCTCAGTGCAACGCAGTAGAGGAACACTTCCACGACGGTGGCGAAGAAGGCGTTGATGGCGGCGCCCAGGCCCATGGAGGACTGCGCTGAGATGGATGCCACGGCCTGGCCGATGAAGTATGCTAGCGGAATGATGGAGAGCAAGCCCGCGACGAACAAGAAGGCGGGCGATGTGAGGAGCATCTCCACGTGTAGGATCCGGTCCAGGATGGCCCAGTCGGCAATGACAAACACGACGACGACCATGAGGTTGATTAAGAAGATGTTTGTGCCGTCAATGGTGTATTTCCAGTACTTTGAGCCGACTGCCCGATAGGTGCAGACCAGGATGGATGAGTCTGGGGCGTCGTCGACTCGCGCGTAGCTGATGTGGGATTCAAACGACAGGGCGAGAGGGTGCCTCCTGAGGTGGTCGAATAGCAGCATGGTTACCTTGCCCATGGGGATCCAGAAGACGAGGAACCAGCATATACCAGACACAATGATCAACGAAGGCGAGATGAGGCAGTAGAAGAAGACGAAGAAGACGATGCGGCCAATGTTCCACTCGCCGCGGCCAAACAACCTTCGCTTCATCCGGGGGTGCAGATCGCCAGATTCACCGCGACGCCCCCGTCCCAGCAAGCTCTCCGTCTCGCTGGGCTCCGAGTCGATGCTCCTCCTGGAGCGGCCGATGATGGAACGGTGCCGGTCGGGTCCAAAGAATAGCCGGCCGTACTCGAGGTCGCCGTTCTGCCACTGCTCATACTCGGAGATGCTCCTGCCCTCGTCCTGATCCTCGTCCAAGTAGGCCTCATCCTTCTCGAGCCGAATAAACTTGCCAAACGGGTAGAATAGGTAGCCCGCCAGGCCCCATAAGACTCTCCCGTATTCCCTTCCGCTAGGCGCAGCGGCAAACAATAGGCATATGATTGCGCCAAAGCCTGCAAAGCAGGCTATCCACCACCCAAAGAAGATTGTCCACACCAAGTTAAAGAGGAGCAACCAGTTGCTTACCCTGCCACCGGGCGTGGAGTGGATGTCTGCCTGCGCAAACTTTTGAATAGATCTGTCTTTCTTGTACAGTGCAGGCTTCCAAACGCGAATACCAAACGGGTGGGTTTGGTTGATGGCCTGCTGCCTGTCTTTGAGCGTGAAGCTCTCCGCCTCGCTGATGTCGCCGTCGGATTCGCAGTCGACGTGCTCTTCCAGCGGCAGCTCCTCCTCCTCCTCGCCGTGCTCCTCCTCGGCCTCGCTGGCTTCATCGTCTCGTTCGGCTTCATCGTCGTCCTCGGTGCTACGAAACGACTGTATTCGGGCGAGTGATGGAGGAGGCGGGCGTCGGCGCGTCGATAAGCCCGCGCGGCGTTCGGCGGCATCTGCCTCGACCTCGTGGGTGTCGTCGTCTGCGGAGAAGACCTCTCTCTTGTGCGGTGTGTTGGCTGATGTACGCCGTGACAGCGGCGGTTTCCGTAGGCGAGAATAGGACTGACTCCTCTCGACGCCTGCAGCAGACGTGGAGCGGCCAGCCTGACTGCTCCGCGCGGCCTGCGGGCGGTCGAGGGATGCTTCACCCAGCGTCTGGCTACTTCTCATGCTCGGGGACCCCTGGATGGTGCCTTTGAAGGGTTTGGTTAGCACGGGCATCCGAAGAAACGGCGTGGGTATGACGGGTGTCGCGTTGTCCTACCATATCCCTCGGGTCGCCGCCGTACGGTGTCTGTCGACTGAGGATTGTCGTCTACGAGGGACGTTTGCCTCGACAGGGGATTGGCTCGAGTGTCCGTCGGTGACATCATGCCGGAGGAAACGCTGCCGCGATGCGCTGATGGCGCGTTGTCGTGCTGCGACGGATCCATGGCTGGCGATGTCGATGGCGATGTCGCTGCGGATGTCGAAGCGGCGACGGTGCCGCGACAAGGTTGACGATGAACCTCGCAGGCCTGCTGAACGAGGTCTCGGCAGGTTTAATAAAAAAAAAAAAGGGCTGAGATAACGACGTTCGAAGGTATCCCTGTCCACCGGCGGCTTTTAGATGGATCGGGCTAGTGAGCTCTAGCAGTGTGGAGGGGCTCTGAACACGGGATCAGCGAATGTGTGGGAGTGAGTCGATGATGGCGGTTGTGAACATGTGGCATCACGGCATGAGAGAAGAAAAGAGAGAGAGAGAGAAGATGTGAAGAAGAAGAAGAAGAAGAAGAAGAATGAAGTTGATGGTGGCGGTGACGTTGGAGAGACGAGAGACGAGAAGGAGAGGAAGAAATTATGAAGAGCAAGAGCAAGAGCACAAGGTGAGCTGAGCTGAGGTTGGCAGCCGGCAAGCGGACCCAACTCTAAAAGGCACCGACTGGCTCGGGTATCTCCAGAGTCAATTAGCGAATCCGGGACTTACAAACAGCAGTCAGTGGGCAAGACGAAGGCGAGGCGCAATTTGGTTTTAGGATAAGCGACAGGGAGCCCAACGATGCGAGATATGCAAAGAACGTCAACAGGCTGCCCTTTGCTCGCTCGTACTCGCAGACTAGCCTCGGTGAGCCCGCTTTTTGGATGATGCAGGTATGCAATACAATGCCTCGCCTGTTTGATGCTGCAGAAACATGCATACAATGCGGAAACAAGGAGAGAGAGAGAAGGAGAAGGAGAAGCACCAAACAGAAACAGAGACAGAAACATAGTATTGGCTCGGAAACAGAAGCAAGGCAAGGCATCCGTGGACTCTCACCGTCTGGGGGCCGCTCACACGACTTGACCTATCGCTTTGGCGCACCTTGTGATCCGCAAATCATGACCGGCCAGGATCTAATGCAACGTCATGGCATGACATGGAGAGGTTACAGGAAACTACATGTATCTTAGTACCTACTATAGTTACGTACGAGTCTACCAGCATGACGGAGACATGAGCGGCAGAGACGAAAAGGAACGGGGAGAGAAAAACAATAAAACACGCAAGCGCAATATATAGAATAGACGCGGTGCCATGCAGCCCGGAATTAACAGCTGCAGCTCTGGCGCAAGGGACTGGAGGTGTGAGCTGTGAGCTCAGGCTGTGAGCTGAAGCTTGGAGCGCTAAATCTCCAGCGTCCTTCAGGCTGCGGTTAGTGCCCAAGGCCCAGCTGACGGTGGCTTTTGACGTGCATGCACCACGGACGTCAGCCAAGGCTAGGCCCGATTGTCGCTGGCGGGCGGTTGCAGCGCTAGTGGCAGCTTCACTGGAGCCCCTGGAAGAAACAATGGATGGACGAGAAGAGGGATGACGGAGCCCGGCCAAATGAATGTTCCGAATTCGATTGACGCTTACGAGCACCAGCTGTAGCCTTGCGCAGCTTCAACTTGGCCCCAATCCCGGACCACCACCATTCCGCATTCATTCACCATCTCGACGACGCATCGCCAACAAACCATCTCTGGCTAATCTCCATCTCTGTATCTCTCATCCTTCATCCATCCCCAGCCTCATCCCCCCCAACTGGGAGCCCGCCCAAGATGGCGCTCGACGAGTACTACCGCAACAAGATCGAGGCGATGAAGCTGGAGATCCTCAAGGGCCAGGCCGCCCTCCGCCGTCTCGAGGCCCAACGCAACGACTACAATTCCCGTGTCCGGTTACTGAGAGAGGAGCTGGGCCTGCTGCAGCAACCTGGGTCCTACGTCGGAGAGGTGGTCAAAGTGATGAGCACCAAGAAGGTGCTTGTCAAGGTACATCCCGAGGGCAAATATGGTTGGTCATCAATGATATCACCCCGCGATTCGCTCACAGCTCCTAACCCCCCGGCGTGCCAGTTGTTGATGTCTCCGATAACGTCGAAATCTCCAAGCTCACCCCCGGAAAGAGAGTCACACTCTTGTCAGACAGCTACAAGCTCGAGAAGATGCTGCCGTCATCGGTCGATCCCCTGGTATCGCTCATGATGGTAGAAAAGGTCCCCGACAGCACATACGACATGATTGGTGGGTTGGATCAGCAGATCAAGGAGATTAAAGAAGTCATCGAGCTGGGTCTTAAGCACCCCGAGCTCTTCGAGTCTCTCGGTATAGCCCAGCCCAAGGGTGTCTTGCTGTATGGGCCGCCCGGTACGGGCAAGACGCTGCTTGCCAGAGCCGTGGCTCACCACACGGCCTGCAAGTTCATCAGAGTCTCTGGTTCCGAGTTGGTGCAAAAGTACATTGGCGAGGGTAGCCGAATGGTCCGAGAGCTGTTCATCATGGCCCGAGAGCACGCCCCGTCAATCATCTTCATGGACGAAATCGACAGCATTGGTTCCTCCCGAGTGGAGGGCTCCTCAGGCGGAGACTCCGAGGTGCAGCGAACCATGTTGGAGCTGCTGAACCAGCTTGATGGTTTCGAGCCCACCAAGAACATCAAGGTCATCATGGCCACGAATCGTCTCGACATCCTAGACCCGGCCCTGCTGCGACCCGGACGTATCGACCGCAAGATCGAATTCCCCCCGCCGAGCATCGAAGCGCGAGCCGACATTCTCCGAATCCACAGCCGCAAGATGAACCTGACCAGAGGCATCAATCTGACCAAGATTGCGGAGAAGATGAACGGCTGCTCCGGAGCCGAGCTCAAGGGTGTGTGTACAGAAGCGGGCATGTATGCCCTCCGCGAGAGGAGAGTTCACGTCACACAAGAGGACTTTGAACTGGCAACTGCCAAGATTCTCAACAAGCATGATGATAAGGAGGTTTCCCTCGGCAAGCTGTGGAAGTAATTGGTTTTGCCTGTCAACAAAACACACCCACTCATACAGACAGACACGCAAAAAAAGAAAGGAAAAAAAAACCTTGTATCCTGCAGCATCGGGCTTATTTTATAGAAACAACCACGGCAGCCACGGACTTGGAGTTGTAAGGATAGTTCAATTATACCATAATGCGGGTATCAACCCCCTAGCTGCCTCCCATCTTTGGTTCCCATCAACATGTGTCAAATGATATGAGGCTGTACTATATATCACCACCTTGTATGAGACAAAACACTGCCACTCTTCGGCATGCAGCGCAACAATTCAACAAGAAGAGATTCAATCTAGCCTACCAGCGTCTATTCTAAATCATCCATGTCAACTTGCGAGCTATAATCTACTTTCGCTGACTTGGTTCCCCCTCGGGAGAAAAGACCCCGTGCATTCCCTCGTATCCGGCCGTCTCGGCAGGCTTCCAGCCGCTCCTTGAGAGGAGCTCCTTGTCCTGCAGCTGGAAGACCTTGACGTGCAGGGGACGGCAAACCTTGATCATTTCCTTTTCGCTGTCGCTTCCAAAGCCCCAGAGGGAGAGATCGCCGCCGGGACAGGTGCCTGGTTTTCATCATGTCAGTCACAACTCATGGTGAAGGGGGGTGTGTATGAAAAAGAAACATACTCAGGGCCATGAGGACATCCTGCTCGGCTAGGAACTCGATCGAGTCACCTCGCTCGGCCGGACACGGGCTCATGAAATAACGGCCCTCTTCATCCAGCCCAGTGACCTGGAACAAGTTCAGCACGTCGTGGACGTCCTCCTCTCGCAGCCCCCACTTGGCCACGGCGCGGCTCAGGTTCGAGTGGCAGTGGAAGTCGTACTGCGAGCCGGACAGCACGGTGTTGATGTACGGGTCGCAGCGCGTGCCCAGCAGGTCGTGGACGCGGCCGCCGTTTCCGTCGTGGCCGTACCACGAGAGGCTGTCGGAGATGATGGTGACGAGGGGCCGCATGTAGGGGAGGTTGGACCAGAGGCGGTCGTGGGAGGACACGTGGGTGGAGTGAAGCTGGCGAGTGCGGGAAGCCCAGAAGCGTTCACGGGGGTTGTGGCGGTTCCAGATGTTGAGGTCGCCTTTTCCCCCCATCATGTTAGCTTGGGTGTTTTCATTGAGTTTGACAAGTATGTCGTGTTGTGCTGGTTTTCGATGTTGAGATGAAGGAGAAGGTGGCGGTACATACCAACCTGAGGCCCCTCGGGCGTGCTGATGCTCACAATCGATCCTGCCGGTGCCTCCCACGCCCTGCCTGATCGAATTGGAACGGTGAATTCCTCGACGAGAACCCTCGGGGCCTGCTGGATGGCCTCGTAGAGGTTCTTGTCGACGCTCAGGGGGGAGCCGGCGGTGGGGAGATAGGCCGGGACGGGCTTCGGCACGGGCTTGCGGGCCTTGAGGCGCTCCTCTGCGGAGAGGCTGCTCGCGGGTTGAGACATTTTAAGATTTGTCTTTTTTTTTTAACTTTTTTTTTTATTTTACCTGAGAAGAGTTGTTGGCGTGAGGTCTTTATGAAGGATGAGATGAGATGGCGGAACTCACCGTTGGAGTTGTGACACTTCTGCTTTGGAGAAGTTGCCAGTTTAAGAGCAAAGCCGTGACAATTTAATTGTTTTCCTCTTTTTTAATCACAAAAGGAAATCGAACATGAATATGGCGCCTTTCCATCCAAGCATTCGCATAAAGAAACTCTCCAGTTCAAGCCTCCATCTACAAAAGAAAAGCCCGAGCGCGGGCGTTATGACTAAGAGGGAAAAAAAGACCCAGAGAAACGGAGCCGGAAGCCCGCCTTCTGTGAACATGCGGGGGACTAGAGATTTTTGCCTCCGCAAAATCTGGCGCCAAAACGGCTGGACTGTAATCATATTTGATAAGGACTTGAGTTTTTTTTATCCACAAGAGTGTTGGTAGTTTGTCTGTCTTGTTAGGTGAATTGTTGGGTTGTGGTTTTTGGGTGAAAGGGCGCGCCTTTGTCGGGTTTTGACGGCATAACGGGGAGGTGGGAAAGAGAAGCGGTTTTTGGATTATTGGGGTGGGATTATTTGGCTAATTGGTCTGGAGAGGGATATTTGTAAAGGATCAAATTCTGATTGATTTCAAACCATTTACGCGGTGACAATTAGTTAGGCCATGGATGGGGTTGAAGAGAAGCTATTTGATGTGATGCGTTGCTGGCGAAAGAGGATGCACATATGGACAAGGCCGGTTTCGCTTGGTTGGCTCAGTATCGTGTCAACGCAGCCACACTGCGGAACAGAAATAGAAATAAAGACTCGGTCCGATCCGCGCTGCTCGGAAATCACTTGTTTGTTAACATGTTCTAGACATTGCTTGGCATTGCTAATCTGTGTTGTAGATCGCAATATGGCAAGCATATCAAGTGGGTGTACAAGTCATGGTTTGACCAATGCCACAGGTGCAAAGGTGTAAGTCGATGGGCGTTTATCGTGGGACTTGCTCATCTGCAAATGTGACTGCGTCTTTCACCCCCGACTTGTTGATACTTTACGATGCCTATTAATAGCTGAGACGGTGTTATGGATGGTTGGGAATGACGTTTCTACGCCTCAAGAGAAATGGCAATGGGCAGATGCAACAAGTTTACCATCTCGGGCCATCATGACCCGAAACCACTCCACTTGTCTGGTTTCTGGAGACGTGAATCTCTTCTTCTCCACCGTTCCTCTGGGGCTGAGGAACCTGTGACATGGCTCACAAGCGCTTCAAACCCGAGACGACGGCCAGACGAAACCCATCACAAAGCACAAAGCAAAAAACCCTTGCCCAGCACGTCTTTGGGCTATCTTGACAGGATCAAGTTGCTCGAAACGAAAGAACTGAAACGCCTCGGTCACGGCAGATGGGATTCCGGAAATCGTCAGCGCGTTAGTTCCTCAGCTCCATGCGCACTTTGCCTAGCGGGATACGTGGATGCTTGTTGTTAGTCAAGGGCGGGAAGACGATGTGGTTTATGGCCCTCGACTTTTGACTCCGTCGTAAGCATGATGATCAAGGCCAACCGATTGGATTCCCTCGGCCAATCAACACGCAGGGCAACTCTACGCTCGGGAATAAGATGCATGTTACTGCAGGATGTAGCTTAGGCGGAAGTGGTAGTAGTCGAAAAATGATCTGTGATAATGCCTCAGCTGGGACTCGGCCGCTCAGTCAGCATACGAAAGGCGCCGAGTCCTACCGCTTACAACCGACGCAAGACAAGATGGAAAAAATCAAGTGAATAGAGGGAATGCGATTTGAGAATAGGGCCTAGAACCTCTTTCCCGCACTTTTGGAATCCTGCAAAGGAGATTCCCTGCTTTTTGACGCACAAGGACGCAAGAAAACTCCTCACGAGACGTTTGGTGGAGAAAGGGAAAAAGGGCCTGGTGTTTCTGAGATTGCGTGACCCGACAGAGATTGCGTGACTCGGAAATCGGGCCAGGCTGAAGCAAGGAAAGTGTCTAGCAGGCCGATGGATGGGGGAAAAAGAAGAAGAGAGAGCCCATCACGGCATCACCCCTCGGAATACCCTTTTTTTCTTCTTCGAGTACCAGCTTTTTCGTTAGTACGGGGCGTGTTGCGTCCCTTGATCTTTGTTTAGAGACGGACGGGCCACGGATCCGGCTTTCCGTTATTAGACAGCGAAGAGAGCAATGCGTGCTGGGGGTTCCAATCGTATTGATGGGCTCATCAGGTCCGTTGTGGTGAGGTGTTATGGAGTACCTGTAGAGCTAGCACAACTGGCTGCTCCATTGTTGTACATCGTTGGCTGCTTACTACCTTACCTATACCTACCAGTTTGCCGTGGTTCTTTCAGGGTCCACGTACGAGTACTGCCGACTACCAAGGTAGAGCAGGCGGTAGCCCGGAGACTTTTTTTTCCCTTTCGACTGCTGTGAAACTATGTACGAGTACATGTATGTAGGAGGCCTTCGGTAGGGGATGCCGTGATGCAAGCAGCTGTTCGTGGCCATGGCGATTTGGGCTTGCAAGCCCTATCGAAGCAACCCGCTTGGGGGGGAGCTGATGGATGGATGGCAGATGGATGGGGCCCCAACGGACAGACAGGGGACGTGCTGTTACAGATTCCGGTCAGGGAGGACCAGACCAGTTGATCGTCGAGCTGCAACCGGTGTGAGAATGACGGGCTGCCACGCTTCCATGCCGGGGAAACACCACTGCGAGCGTGGGCGAGTCTGGACCGCGGACGGCTGAGCTGTTGTTGTTCAGTTTTGATGCCGAAACACCACGTTTGACTGGGTGCTGGTCCGAGGACTCCGCACGATCTACAGCACTCGAATGTGAAATCTTGAAAGGGAGGGATCAATGGTGTGTGTGTGTGTGTGTGTGTGGTCGCGGCTCTAGAACACAGAGTGTGTGTCTGTATGGAATAACATAGGAATTTGATCCTTGTGATATGGGTTGGATGGGCAGCTCTAGTCACAGGTCCAGTGCGGGCCGGTCGAGTGTAGTCTGCGAGGATAATGCATAGTTGGGTACGGTGCCTGTCCATCACTTTTCTATTTCTCGTGAACCGTTGCCGTGGCTGCGAAAATCAATCTGCACCGTCGGCGTCGGTATCCCCATCTTGGATACATGGACGATTGGGGCTCTTTTGTCAAGGATTTCGTGATTCATCGTCTGCGACATGTACGTACTGTACAGTCACAGTCATGCATTAGGAAGGCGGACAGAAACACTGCTTACAGCCGTTATGCCGTTTTGAGCCGGCTACGTCATTGCTCCCGCGCTGCGACAAGAAGCTGCCCTTTTCTCGCTCCCCCCGTTTTTTTTTTTCCAAATGTTCAATCTCTTTTCCCAAATCTCAGCTGGACCGCTCGCCTTGGCGGCCCTGGGCAAGTGACATGTAATTCGGTAATACAGTCCGCGGCACTGTGCAGCCGCGCGGAACGTTCCACGTCGCCGGGTTCTAGACTTTCCAATGTTGTTTTTGCTGATGCAATCCGGTCGCTGTTGAACCGGCAATTGCATGGTGAGAATCAAGCTTTGGCCGGCAGGCACCCGCTGGTGGATGCCCGGGCCAAGCAGCCAAGCAAACAATCAAAAAACCGCCCAGCTCGGCGCTGCAGCTGGAGAAAGGATAAGACGCCGTGTGTTCGTGTCCTACAGGTACTCGTACATGGCGGTGGTGTGGTGGAGAGGGGAGCGGAAGGGGTGCGCCGATGTACTTGGACTGTACAGTATGGGCAAGATGCACAGTGCGGCAGACACTGACGATGAATACCAATCGCTGCAGAGGTCAACGTTGATGTGTACCTATTCTACATGTAATCCCCCCCTCTTTGGTACAGGTGTAGTATAAGATGCCTGTCTCATTATACATATCACAAGAATATATAAATAAATAAATAAATAAATAAATAAATAAATAAATAAATAAATAAATAAATAAATAAATAAATAAATAAATAAATAAATAAATAAATAAATACGGAGTACAACCACCCGCATTGATGAAGAGCAACAAAATAGCAGAGCAGACAGAACATGGGCGGCATTGCCCGGCGGTACGAGTACAAGTACAACTGCAAGTACAACTGCAAGTACAAAGCAGACAAGGATCACGGCGACACGGAGCATCGCGGAGCCGCTTTTTCTTTTGGGGCTCCCAAAGTCTGGACTCGACCGACCAAGACGCAAAGGGGCACGGTGACGTCCTGCGGCAGCGCCACCCGCGCTCTGGTTGGCCCTGGCGCGCCTGTGAGGGGCCGCTACGGGGGCCTTACGGGGGGGGGGGGCCTTGAGGGTTTACGGGGGACTGTAGCGCTTGTCTTTTTCCCAGCAGCGAGTCTGTGGCGCTGCTAGTACGGTAGAGGGTCCATCTGTTAGCGGGGACCCTTGGCCCTTGGCGCCGCAATGACGATGTGGTGGGGCCGGCGGCGTCGAGAGGCCATGCGACAAGAAGAAGACGGTGGCTGCAGCGTTTCTTCCGAATGTCTGGCTTCGTTGCTGCATTTCTGCGTGACTTGTCAACTAGAGTGCGGCGTCTTTATTGCTGTCTTTGGGCATTGGTGTAGGCCGGCTTGCTTTGAACATGTGTTGAAGAAAGAAGGTTGTAAAAGAGAGAGATCACGTCGTTGTTGAAGCTTTGCCCGATGGAGGCGAGAGATTCCACCAAGGCAATTGAACCCGCCAAACCCAGAGGAATGAACCAGATCCATGATTAGATACATCCATTGCATGACTCTCCAGACCAGAAAATAGTCGTGCAAGCTAGCATCAGGGAGCCATCAATTTTGCAAATATTGCTTCCCACCATGCTAGCAAGCAGCTTAATGCAACGCGAACGGTTCCCCGTTAGTGCCAAAGTTAATCACAATCGTCATTCATCTCACAAGTCGGTCAGCCCCAAATTCCATTGTTGCGTGACGCCAGAGCGTTGCGTTGGAATCTGCCATGCTGTTCTTCCCAACTCCTGCCCAGCTAAACTCCCCTTTGGGCGGCCCATCATTATTGTCAGCCATGGCCAAAACAGCTGTTGACCCAACGCCTCTTTTTTTTTTTCCCTTCCCGCCAGCCTCAGAGCCGACTGCGCAGGGGGCAATTCGTAACCAAGACGCCTGTGACGCCCTTGCGACGAGGCCGTTGCAGCAGCTGTGCTGGCAGAGACGGCCGTGGCAGTCGAGGGTCCGCTGGCAAAATCAAACGGCGTCGACGAACTGTGATGGGGGCGTTACGGCGAGAGAGACGGGGACCCAGCGTACAGTACAGTACGGAGGGCAGACGATACGGAGTACATGACATGCCGCACATTCTGGCAGATCCTGAGTAAACAAACCGGTTTGCTGTGCTGTGCTTTGCAAATGGACCAGATCCAGACCCTTTCTCCTGCTCCATGCTTGTCATGCCAGCGCCGATCCCTTCCGCACGCGATCACCAGCGACCTCATCATCCAGCCCCCGGGCCGCCGTCATCGTGGGCTGCTCGAGGTACCGCCAAGTACCTGCTGCTTCTCTGTCCGACCAGCGCTGTGCTGTGCTGTGCTGTGCTGTACAGGTAGCGTTGTAAGCTATTTGATATGGACTCGTACATGTACGGACAGGCATTGATGTTGCCACGCCTTGTTCTTGTGTAGGCCCGCAAAGACCCTTCAGCTCCCTCTCCTCAATCTGGCGCCCGGAGTCGTAGTCCTCGATGGGTTGGATCCGGGGGGAAGGCCATTGCCTGATCTTGCAATAGGATGCCAGTACCTAGTATCACCATTCGAGTAGTCACATTCAGGCTTCGTCATAGGTAATCGTGTGGACATTGTCTCGCCTTGTTCTTGTTTAAAAGAGGAAATGAGAAAAGCAAAAAAGCAGAAAAGCCAAAAAAAAAAAAAAAAAAGACGTCCAAGTACATTGCGCCCGGGACAAGGTAAACTCGCCCGCACCAGTACCTCTGCCGATGCACCGTTTGGGCGCTGTCCCGGCCCCTAACCGCGCTGTGTTCTCAGGTGGTGGTGGTACTCTCCCCCAGCCCGGTACCTTGCAGTACTTTCGCCATTTCTGCAGGGCCCCTGTTCCCCCTCCCACACCTTCCCAGCTCTTCTTCTCCTCCAAAGCTCCGGTCGTCTTGTGCCATTTGATCTTTGTCTGTCTCTTCTCCCTTTCCCCCCCAGCGCTCCATCTCACTCGCACACCCCCCTTCTGGCTCTGCGCGCTAATCTGGACGGGACCGAGAAAAAAAAGAGAAGAGCAGAAAAAAGGTCGTCCGGGGGTGGCATCCTCACCACGTTGGGCCCCATCCCGCAAGCAGAAGCAGAACATTTTGCAACACGAGAGCACCGGCAACTTTGCCCCTTCATCCCACAATCTCCTCACCCCCCCAAGAGAACCTACGGCAGCCTCAACTGAACTCCCGGTCGAATCGAATCGGGTTCCTTCTGGCTGCTTGGCTTCTTTGGTTTCACCCTCACCTTGGTTCCCGTTCTCGACCCGGGTCTTCGCTTCTGTCCGTTCCTTTTCGCCTCCGTGCCGGGTGCCATCTACGCCATTTACTCGTCTGTTTCCCCCCTTTCCCTTACAACATCCAGCATAGCATATATCCAGCCCTGCTGTTTGTGTTTGTGCCAGCTCCGTCTCCGCATTGCACTGCTGCGCTGCATACACATACATACAGAATCCCAGTTGGCAGGCTGTCCAGCTGTCAGAGTCGTCATTACCACTGCATTCCCATCCTTGCTCAGCCGGGTCGGCCGTGGGCACATTGTCATAGACACACCAACGCCACATCATTTCGGTACTCTTGCCACCTCGTTCCGACTTGAAGAGCGCGGCCCAGAATCTCGATTACTTGATACCACTCTCTCCTCATCCACCCGATTCCACTCCGGCCTTTTGCTGGGACGCGTCAAAGAAGCATAAGCTTCACGGGCTTGTTCTGGTCGATCATTTGCGGATCCCCCAAGCCCGCCAGAGCTGCATTTATACTGTATCACCCCTCGGCATCACCACCACCGGCCACACAGCATTGTTGGTCGTCGGGAACTCTCACAGAACCCTTCCTAGTTATGGGCCTTGGGAATTGCTGATGAGCACGCATCTAAATGTTATCGACACCCCCTCTTGAACAGGCTCAGGCCATGCACGACTCTCGGGCTGGCGACCGGACGCCTGTCCACTACACCGTCAGGGCTCACACGATGCCATCGCCAGCTCCCGTCACCTCTCACTCCCACTCCCTCTCGCAGTCCTCTCGCACCGGCAAGACTGGCATGTCGACGACTCCCGCCTCCTCTCCCCGCGCCTCCCATTCCGTCGGCCAGAGCCATCCTCCCAAGCTGTCTCCGTTGCGGCCCGACATGAGGCCACCGAGTCCCAACTACTTTGGACTCGTTGTCGATTCATCCCACGACCCTCGAGATTCTTCCGGCCTGGGCAACAACTGGAGTCCGGCCTCGTCGTCAGTCAAGTCCTTTGCGGCCGCCCTGCCCAGGCCCATCGAAGCCACCAACCCCGACTTTGAGGCCTTCAGGAGACAGATTGATATAAACAGGGGTGGCAGGTCCTTTGCCCTGCCAACTTCACATTACGTCCAGCCCACATCCAACCCCGCCCTCTCACGCCCACGAGTGCCTAGGGCGCATACTCATGCGAGCGACACGGGCTCGGAGAACTCCTTTCCTCGCCTAAGCATGCCAAGAGACCGCCCATCAAGTCGGATGGATGTAGACCAGGATAGCCTCCATGACTCTGCATATGTATCGTCCGACTCGAAGCGCAATTCCGAAGCTTCGCTGTTTCCCATGCAGCTCTCTAACCTCCCGAGATTCGAGTCCCCGATGCCAATGGACCCCATGCAGTCTCAGACGACGCTGGCTCGATCTGAGAACACAAACACCCAACTCACCATGACGGAGCATCGGCCCCAGCCTCCTTCACCCAGTCTACCATTGACGCCCCTGACGAGAGCTGCGACAATGCCCATTAAGCTGGAGCCCGGGCAACCATCATTGATCACTGCGGAAACTCTCAAGGACCTACTTGAGGCCGAGGACGAGGACGATATTTTGCTGTTGGACATACGGTCTTCAACAAACTACGCCGCGTCCCGAATCAAGGGAGCTCTCAACCTGTGCATCCCCACCACTCTCCTGAAGCGTAACACTTACAACACCGAAAAGCTGCAGCAGACTTTCCAAGACGGCTCGGCAGGAGACAAGTTTGCCACCTGGAAGGATGTAGAAAGGATCATTGTTTACGACTCCCACTCGTCGGATGCGCGTGACACCGTTGCGGCCCAGAACATGATTAAGAAGTTTACAAATGAGAAATACCTCGGAGAGACTGCCATTCTCCGAGGTGGCTTCCAACAGTTCCAAAGCCTGTTCCCCAGCTTTGTCGATAAGACCTCGGCCACGCCCGTCAACCCCGGCGGCGGTGCTTTCCCAGGTGCCATGAGAGGCCTTGCCCCCGTCATTGGTGGCGTCAGCCTGCCAACGTCCATGAACCCGTTCTTCTCCAACATCAGGCAGAACATGGACTTGGCAGATGGCGTCGGCCAGATGGACGTGGCTTGGCCTCACGGGCTCGAGTCGGACGCGCTTCCTCTGTGGCTTCGCGATGCGGCAGCCCCGCAAGACCACGGCAAACGCGTGTCGGACTTCTTTTTGCGGATTGAGATGGAAGAGAAGACTCGTATGCAGAATGCGTATGCCGCGTTCAACGAGGGAAACCCCGCCCACAATCCAGCCATGAACGGCCGGGTGCAGCTCTCGGGTGTTGAGAAGGGCGGCAAGAACCGCTACAAGGACATTCTCCCCTTTGAGCATGCGCGTGTCAAGCTTCAGGACAAACCACTAGGGGCTTGTGACTACATCAATGCCAGCCATCTCACTGCGTCGAGGAGCAACAAGAAATATATTGCGAGCCAGGGCCCCCTGCCCGCTACCTTTGAGGTGAGATGAATGGTGTACAAATGGATGCCTCATTTGCTAACTTTGCTTTTAGGATTTCTGGTCTGTTATCTGGGAACAGGATGTGCGTGTCATTGTCATGTTGACGGCCGAATCTGAGGGAGGCCAACTAAAGTGTCATACGTATTGGAAGGATCGCGAATACGGGCCCATCAAGCTGAAGCAGCTCTCCGAGAAGAAGGCATCACTTGATCTCGACAAGCATCGCTCTGCCACCACGCAAACCAGCCACGCATCATCGAGCGAGGCCGGCCGAAAGCGGGCTAACACGACTACCACCTTGGAGACGGCCACGGGAAAGCCCACTCCCCTCCAAGAGCAATCTGAACCGACCTTTGTCACCATTCGCAAGTTTGCTCTCACTCACTCCTCTCACCCCTTTGCTCCCATCAGAGAGATTACTCATCTCCACTTCTCGTCCTGGCCCGACTTTGGGACGCCGGCCCAGCCGTCTCACCTTCTTGCCTTGGTAGAGCTCGCCAACGTCATGCAGCGTGCGGCTCTCCCGGTCGAGACGGCCTCGATTATGGGATCCAGCAAGATTGCCAATGACATTGCGCCGATTGCCTGGTACGACGAGCCAGAAGCCGACAGCGCAAGCCGTCCCATGCTGGTTCACTGCTCGGCTGGATGCGGCAGGACGGGAGCGTTTTGCACTGTCGACAGTGTGATTGATATGATGAAGCGCCAGCGGCTGGCCAAGCTGCCGGGCGGGCACCCTCTCGCTCGGGAGCCAGAGGAAGACACGCAAATGGTGGACTTTGACGAGGCCATCTCCCCCATGACCAACAGGGAGATGGGCTTCAGGTTCAACACGGATCACGAAATGGGCTTCAAATTCGACACGGATCACGAAATGGGCTTCAAATTCAACACGGATCACGAGCCAAGGCTTGAAGGTGCAGGCCAGGGGCACTCATCCGTCGACGGGCCCTGGGTACGAGACGATTCGGTTGATTTGATCCAAAAGACGGTAGAGGACTTCCGCGAGCAGAGACTTAGCATGGTCCAGAGCCTACGACAGTATGTGTTGTGCTACGAGACGGTGTTGGAATGGGTTCACCGGTTGCATGACCGAGGCGCCGCCGCCAGTGCCGGCAGAAGACCTCGCAGCGAGAGCTACCAGCTCTCATGATACAATTTTGTTTTTTATTTATTTCGATAATTAGTTAGACTGCATCCCGTCGAGGGGTTGCAAGATGGTACGTACACCTGACGATGATCAGGAGGAATCAAGGCATTGGCAGGAGCACAGCAAAAGACGAGCGGGCACAGCAAGGGACGGCGTTGGATTGGAATTAATTTTTTTGATGAAAGAGCACACGCAATTTACGCGGAGCAACAGGAAGCGTAAATGTCGAATGGAACACGATGGCTATGGCATTTTTTGGTAAACGAACACGACACTACGGAGTATTAAGTGTATAGGTATATATTGCTTGATGGAAAGGGTCGACATGTGTATCCCCGTGACTTGACCATGCATTTTTGTCTTTTTTGCCTTGGCACAATTTGGTACCGGGGAAGGGACTATACATAAAAGCCAATGTCTTTTTCTTACTAGGTATTTATTTCAACTCGTTTGATTGCTCTGCTGTACGGTAAAGTGATGCTTAATGATGTAGACGTGTCTTTTGTCTGCTCTGCTGTACTCGTACGGTGAGGTGAGATGATACTTGGTGATGTAGATGTGGGACATGACTTGCATGGCGAGACACGAGCTCCAGGGATGAGATGCATGTAAAACAAAGCCGGGGGGGGCGCCAAGCGTCGATGACAGACATGGCGCGTGCGTGCATACATACGAGTAGTACCTACATACTTACCTACATGCTACCTAGTACTGAACTGCGAGTACACGTATACTGTACGTGTACGTGTAATGATGGCCCGAGACAAGACGTGCATATGCATGTCTCTCTGTCTTGCGCACGGGGGGGAGATCTGGGGAAGGATGAAGATGGGCATTTGGGATGAGAATGAGGGTTTGGTGACGGTGTATCAAATCGAGTGAGATGGGGATTTCGGTCCGGAGGACGCGGGATGGCGATGCTTTCTGGCAGGGGTTATATGTCGTATGTCGTGTGTGGGATTTGATATCAGATACTCCGTAGTAGGCAGCAATTTTGTGTAAGCGCGCGCGGCGAGGTGCGCATACATTGTTTTGGTTGGGAATGAGGGATGAGGTACATTATTTCCAGATACTGCTGGTGCATGTCTTGTGAATTTGAATTTGGCTTGACCCCTTGTTTTTTTGCTTCTTTGTTCAAGTCTGCTCGGTAAATACATCTACATGTATTCTTGGAGATGTGAGCGAGGTTGTGTGGTTCGGAAGGGGCGGTGCTATTAATAGAACTGGGGTCTTTTTGAGGCACGACATTGATGGAACAAGTACCTATGTTGTATCGAGTACAGGTACAGGTACGCATTACGCATCTATGATGATAGGGGCGAGTGGTAGTTTTCAATTGGTATATACGAGCGTGCTCTAGTGTTTGATACAACAATCATCAGTAATCGGGTGGCCTCTGAAACTGGCTTGCTGAAGAATTGCTGGGATGACTGGCGTGGAAAGGAATGGAAGGTGATTGCCAATCAGTCGGTGGGCGTCTCATATTAACACCCCCGCTGTTTTTTTTTTTTTGTTTCTGGGGAGGTAACGGGTACGACGAAGGATTGGCTGGTTGTAGCAGTACCGGAGAAGAAGAAAAGCGTAGATGGAGTTGATTTTTTATTATTTTTTTGCTGTTGAGGATGGGATTGGCAAGTGAAGCTAGGTATTCATGCGAATCTGGTGGTTGATATCAGATGGATCCAATC